TATATATATATATATATATATATATATATATACATATATAAATTTTTTATATTTTATATATATTTTTTCTTTTTTAGATCTATAAATTTAATTTATTATAATAAAGATTTAATGTTTTTATTGATTAATATTTAATTAATTAATTTTACATATAAAAAGATTTTTAAGATAATATTTTACTTTCATTAATTAATAAAATTGAGAATAAATAATATATGAATTAACAATTATTAGAATATAATTAATAATATTTGTAAGTTTAGAAATCTTTAGGATAATAACAATTTAATTTATGTATTTTTAATGAAAATGATTTTACTATTAATTCTTTTTTTTAAATTATATAATAGTTTTTTGAAAATATAAATAGATAAATAAATATTTGCTGTGAGATTTTAAAAATATAAAATTCTTTAAAAAAAACTGAAGTTTTCGAATTCGAGAAAATAATAAAAAATAACCAAAAAGAACTAAATGAAATTTTTAATATATTAAATTGTAAAATTACTGATAAATTTTCATCTTTATTTTAACAAAACGAAAAAAATATTACAAATTTATTTACTTTAAATAGAGTTTTTTTTAATTTTTTAAGTTAAAATGATATTTTATTATTTTTATAAAAAATAAAAGAAAAAGAAGAGATTTTTTAATATAAAAAATAAGAAGATTTTTTAGAGTTTTTTTATTTTAATTTAAATTTTCTTTTAGAAACTTTAAATCAAACTTTTCTTAAATTTTGTGGAAAAATATTACAAAATTATAAATTATTAATAGAATTTATTAATAATAAAATAAAATTATATAAAAATAAATAATAAGAAGACATTTCTTTTGTAATAAATATAAAAATACTCGAAACAAATACTAAGAAGATATAAATAAGAAAATAATTACCCGAAAAAAAGTATATAATGGTGAATTATTTGAAGAAAATACTAATTCTTTATAAACAATAGACTCTTAAACAATAATAACTAGTCCTTTTATGAATAATAGGAAGTCTAAAGTATTTATTTAACATATATAAACATAATTAAATTGCAAGAAATACGGAATAGAAGATATTAATTTAGAAAATGAATATAAATACTTTGAATTTTAAAGGAAATAAAAACAAAAGGAAATTTAAAATATTTAAAATAATAATATTAAATAATAAAAAAACGAGAATTCTTTTTCTAAAAACATATTTCATAAAACTATAAGTTAAAGATAATTATCTCCCTAAGAGAAAATAAAATTAGACTTCATTAATAAAAGCTATTAAAATTTAATGAATACAGGAAATAAATATTAATCTATTATAAATCATAAGAATATTATTTTAACTAACGAAAGAATATCCAAAAGTTAAATGAAAGAATAGAAAAATACTCAAGTTTAAATTAATAATAATGATACTTTGATTTTGTCAAACAATTTTAAGAAAAACAATTAAAAAAAATTTATTAAAATTTTTAATGGAAGCCCTGTTAAATGTATTTTTGAATAAATTAAATAATAAAAAAAGGATTCTAGTCATTCTAATATTTATTTGAGATCTTCGCTTTCTCCTATTTAGTAAAATTCGAGGAAAGCCAATTTTTTTGAATAAAAATTAAAAAAAATTAATTCTAAAAAATTACATATTTGAAAAATTAATGAAAAAAAAAAAAAAAAATATATTAATTTTATATAAGAAAAATTTTAATTTTTTAAATACAAAAAAAAAAAAATTAATAAATAAAATTTTATGTAAAATTATATGGAAATAGTATATATAGTTGGAAACAATAAATAATTAGCAAACTGAAGATGGAAAGGCGATATAAAAATACTAACAAATAGAAAATTATATCCATATATATTGGATTTCATATGAAAAATTAGGTCATATTAGAATACAAATTTGAAACCGATAATATATTTTAATCTATTATGATTATCCTTAAATTCTGCTCTAAGATTTTCCTTTAAAATTCAAATTGGTAATATTAGGTTTAGTTTAAATTTTTATAAAGATGGGGTTTGATTGAGCTTATTGAGAAATCGAGAAAATGATGAAAAATGGGACTAAAATTGTATCATTTAATATGTTTTATTAGGTTTTTGGTAAATATTTAGACTTTAATTATATATATAAAGGGGAAACGATATATAATTAAATAAAATGTCTTAAAATATTATTAGATTTGGGAATATTAAATATGCTATGATTTTTTTTTTTGAGTAAGATATAAAGAATTTCATAAAAAATCGTTAAAAATATTAAAATACATTTATTAATGAAAAAATACGAAATTAGAAATACTTTTAGTTTATGGATTTCTTAAGTTAATAAATGAAGATTAGGATTGCTTATCAAATGAGCTTTTAATTAAATATAATGACAAAAAATTATAATGATTTTAATAAAAATATGGATTCATATTATAATCTATTAATAAAAATAATTATATAAATAAGAATATAAATATATAAATTTTAATAATAGTTTATTTATAAATATAAATTATTTTATATATAATTATTTAAATGTTTATTAATATTTTATATAATAATATAGATATATTTAATAATTTTTCTAATATATTATATTATATTGAATTTAATGTTTTATTTCTTATATAAAATATTTTTATAATTTTATAAATTTTTGTTTTAAATAAAATTAAAATTTAATCTAATTAATTTTATTGAAATATGACAAATAATTATTAATAAATGAAAATTTATATAAATTTTAAACTAAAATAAAATATAAAATAATTTTTTATTATCCATTTTTATATTTTTAATTTAATTTGTTATTTATAAAAAAGTAAAATAAAAATATTTTAATGAATTAATAATAATTTTATATATATTTTTCTATAAATTTTTAATTAATAAAATGTATCCAATTTCGGATTAAACTAAAAAAAATCTAATTATTATATATATAACATTAAATATATATTAAATTATAAATTTATAATTTAGTTTAAAAGATTATTAATTAATATTTTTTATTTTTAATTATTTTTAAGCAATTTAGATAAAAAAATTGAAAATTTTAATTATATAAAAATAAAATACTTATAATATTATTTTAACAATAATCAAAATATAAAAAAAAAAATTCTAAAAATAAATTATTTTATTTCATATATTCAATTTTTTAATTTTTTTATATTTATTTACTTTTTAGTTTTTAATATAAATATTATTATATAATCTAAAACCTATACTTTTTTAATATATTAAAAAAATATAAATATTTAAAAACTTTAAAATACTTATATAAAAATAATTTTTTAAAATTATTAGAGAAAATATTTAATTAAATATTAAATAAAAAAATATGAAAATTAAAATAAAAATAATTATTTAAAATATAATAAATAATAAAAAAATATATTATTAAAATATTTATAATATAATTATATATTTTATTATAATAAAATAAAATATTTAACATTTTAAATAATAATATATATTAAAATTTAATTATTTAATTTGTATTCATAAAATTGATTTATATAAAATAATTAAATTTAAAAATAAATATAAAAAATATTTATAATATTTATAAAAAAATATTACAATAAATAAATATATAAATACAAAAAAATAAATAAAAAAAATAAAAAACGAAACAATTATAAATGAAACCTTATGTACCTTCTACGAGTCCTACTACAATAAAAAGTCCACCTAATACTCTTATTAAAATAAACGAATTTATAACTAAAACAAATTCTTAATTTGAAAAAGAGAATTCTAATTAAGAAACACCTTAACTTTCAAGTAAAAAATAAATAAAAAATATATATATATAAAAAATATTTTTTTAATTTTTTTATATTAAAATAAATAAAAAAGGTAAAATAACGCCTGAATACGATATAAATTATTATTAAAGTGAAGCTTGTACATATTATTTAGCGAACTTATTACTTTTAAATTAAGTAAATTAATTATTAAAATAAATTATATAAATATTAGTTTTTTATATAAAATATATATATAGATATATATATATATATATATTTATAATATTTATATTTATAAATAAAATTACTTTTTAAACTAAATAAAAATAATTATAAAAAACTAATTTATAGATTAAATCTCTGTAGCAAGAAAAAAATACTCTAATCGAAAATATTGAAAAACTCGAGAATTAATAATTAGAATAACACCTAAAATTAAAAAGAAATCGAAGAACAGCTAATTAAATTGATCGAAATTTCTAATGTCCATGTAATTCCTGTAAAAAAGTATATGGATCGGAAGGATCTTTAAGCTAACATATAAAACTTAAACATTCTGAATATTTTGAATAAATGAATAATAAAGAAAAAGTAAATTTAAATAAAAAAACAGTAAATCTAGATTAGGCTCAGACTCAACTATTGATAAATGCAATATGGTAATTTTATTTTATATAAAAAAATTTAAAAATTGGTTTTAATTGTTTATTTAAAAATAAATAAAAAATAGAAAAATAAAAAATATTCATTAATATATTAAAAATTATACTATATATATATATTATTTATATATTTTAATTTTTATAATTTATTAGTTTTAGAAAGAATCTATTAATATTTGATTTTTGAAAATTATTAATTTGAAAATAGTTTATATGAAGAGTTATAGTAAAAGATGAGATATTTATATTTTTTTATATTGTGTTTAATTTATTTTTATATTAAAAAAAAAAAAAAAATTTTATAAAATTCTTATATATTTATATAATCTTTTTTATATGTTATTTTATATATTTTATTTTAAAATTTAAAAATTAAAAATTTAAACAGAAAAATAAAAATATTTTATTATTATAATTAAAATATTATTTAAATTTTTTTTTTAAATTGGAATTATAATTTTTTTAAATTGAAATTATAATTTTTTATAGTTTCATAAATAAATTTTTAAATTGATTTATTTTAATATTATATAAATACATATATTATAAAATTAAATAACGATATTATTATATTTATTGTAAATTATATAAAAAAAATATGACATTTAAAGTACAATTAATCATAATAATATAGTAATTAATATATATTGAAAAAAAATATATTTTTTAAAAGAAAGATAATATTAATTTAAAAAAAAAATTATAATATTAATGTTTTTTTTAAATTTTTTTAATTATTTATAAATAATTGTAAATAAAAAAAAAGTAAAATTTAAAATAAAATATAATTTATTAAATAATAAAAATTATAATTAATAAAATAAATTTAAACAAATCAAAAAACTAAATTCATTTAAATAAATATATATATTAAGACATTTAAAAAAAAAAGAATTTAAAATATAAATGATCAAAAATATTAAAATTTAAATAAAAAATAATATATATATATAGTTATAACAAATTTAAAAAAATTTTAATTTGATTTTTATAATATAAATGTTTTAATCTATATTTTATTTTAAAAAAGAATTTATTAAATAAAAAATAGATTAATTTTATGTTTTTTATATTATATTTTAGAAAAAATTAATATAATTATAAAAATTTATTAATCTAAAACTAATTTTATTTTAAAAGATATTAATAAAATAAAAAAATATTAAATTTAAATTTAAAATTGATAATAGATATATAAATGTAAATGTAAATATTATATATATAAATAATATATATATATATATATATATATTATATATATTTATTTTCAAACTTCCTTTTTTCTCATTATTAATTAAAATCTTTTATATTTATATTTAAGTAATTATTATTATTACTTAATCCTTATCTTTCTTTTTTTTGATTATTTTCATTTTAAGTTTCATATAAATAACAATTTTATTTATTTGAATTTATATTTTAAATTTTTGAATTATATTTATAATTTTTTTATTGCTAAATTTATTAAGATTTTTCTTTCAATTTTACCTCAAATAAATTATTTCTTTTAAAATATAATAATTTAATATTTTTTAATGTTTCTAATTTTTCATCATAATTCTTTTTTAGTCCTTCTTATAATTCTGAATTTAAATATTAGTTATTTTATTCAAATTTTTAGCTTATTTCTTATAATTATTAGAATAAATTAGTATATGTTATTTCATTTTTTTATTCAAATTCTGAATTTTAATTTTTGTTTAATACATTAATTTATTTAATTAGACATTCCAAAAGTTATTCTTAGTTTAATTTTTTGCATTCTTCGTATATTTGTTAAAATTAGCCATAATTATTATATATTATTTACTATAAATATGCATTATCCGATGATTCTAAAGAAGAATTATTATCTCCTGAACTTAAAATAAGCATTAAATAAAAAACGAAAAGGATAAAAGTATTATTCAAATAATTTTTTCCGAATTAATAAGAATTACTTGTATAATTGTTTGAAGTGTTTTGATTTTCATCAACGCTTATGTGCTATTGTTAGAATAAATATTGAAAGAAATTAAATTAATTTTATTAATGCTATTATAATTATTATTGTTATTGTGAATATTATTTTTATTGTTATTATTATTATTATTATTATTATTATTATTATTATTAATATTGAGTTTAATCAGATTTTTAATTTAATAAAACTTCGTGATATTTTTTTGATTTATTTGAGTTATAATTATATTCTACAAATCCTATATTTCCACATTTTTGACATTTCTATTCTTCTAGTTATTTTTTTAATTTCTAATTTTCTATTTTTAATTCTTGTAAATCATATTATAATTTAATATGTTATTTTTTTTTATTATCTCGTGATATTTGTGCACTTATTCGATTTTTTTCTCTTTATTTATTTATTTTTTCCTCTTGACTTAATTTTTGTTTTTATATTTTTTTTTTTATCTGTTTTTTTAGTTTAATTAAGGTTCAATTAAGTTTTTTATTATTTTGAGGTTTTCCTCATGTATTTAATAATTATAATTAGGCTTCGTTGAAGTCTCTGTTTACAGTGTTTAAGTTTGGTTTTAATGAGAATTTTCTTCTAGGAAGTTAGAAGAAAAATATGGGGATTATATCATTTTATAATTTATATATTTCTATGTTTATTCAATCTCCTTTTATTTTTTTTCTTTCTTTTTTGTTTATATAAAGAGTTTTTTTTTTTTTATTATTATTATTATTGGGGTAATTTAGATTAAATAAAATACTTTTTTAAATAATTTTTTTTTTATTATTATTATATATATTCTTATTTTTATATTTGTTTGTTTGTTAGTTTTATTTTTTTGAACTATCTTTTTATTATAATTATATTTATAGTAATACTTTTTTATTAAATTTCATATATAATTTATTTAAATTAATTTTAAAAAAGAAATTCTGGAATATATTATAATTAATATATATGAATTTTAAATATTACTTTTAAATTATATAAAATTAAATTTGATTAAATTGTTTTAAAAAAGTTTGAGAAATATGGGGAAAATTAATTTCATCTTAAGTGTATTAAAATTTTCGAAATATTAAAATAAATGTTAAATATTATTAAACTTATATTATATTTTATTTTAGAAAAAATAAATAAATATATAATAATAAATTTAAAGAGTATCTAAAAAAGTAAAGAATATATTGAGTAATTATTTATAAATTATATAATAGTTAAAAAAAAATTATATGATTTTAAATTATTTAATTTAAACAAAAAATAAATAAATTAAATATTTAAATTAATATATAAAAATATATAAATTTGTTTTTTATATTATTTTATATTATTTAATATTTGTATATTTTTTTTGTTTTAAAAAATAAATAAGAAAAAGTAATTTTTTATTAAAAATAAAATTAATTGATATAATATTTTATTTAATATATATATATATATATATTTATATATATATTATATATATATTATATAAATCACATTTAATAAAATTTTTTTACGTTAAATATTTTTTTTATTTTTCTCTATATTTTTATATTATAATATATTTCATATAAATGCAGAATTAAAATCATATGTAAATATAATATATCAATTATATTTCTACACCAATATAAACTCAAGATTATTCGTAAATAAATAAATATTTATAATTAGTTTTTAAATAAATAAAGTTAAACACCAGATTAATAATAATAATAGATTAAACAAATAAAGAAAAAAAGGGCGATAAAATATATGCCAATAATAAAGCAATTTGAATTATTTAAAAATATTTAACAATAGCCATTAATAAATAACAAAGTTTAATTAAATACTGATTTTGACACTTATCCTAAACAAAACTCTTCAAATTAAATAAGTATAATTAAAAAAATGTGTGCAATTATCAAAATAATATTTATTTATATATTTTTTTTTAAAAAAAAAAAGAAAATAAATTAAAAAGAAGCAATTTTTTAATGAAATAAATATAATTAAATTACTAATAATAATTCCAAACAAATTAATTTTAAGCATTTTTATAATGTTAAACTTCAAATACATATTAAGTAAAAAAAAATATATGGTTAAATATATATATATATATATATAAAGTTTTTATTAGGAACTGGTAATAATCATATACTTGTTCGAGAGATTTTATAAAATAGAGGAAATTGGAAAGAAGTTCAACAAAATTAAAATATTTAATATGATTTTCTTTGGTAATAAACAACATTAGGAATAAAATATGACAAATTAAAACCAAATAAATACTAAAATAAAATAGTGGTAAATCATTTTGAATTTCATAAAGAATTATCTTCTAAAATAAAACTTATAAAAAATCTCGAAATATAATGTTCAGAATAATAAATACATTTATTTGATATAACGCCTTTAACATTTACAATAGATTATGAACTGGATGGATTTTAGAATGATTTTGAGGATTTTTTACACTTTTATTTTAAGTTATCTAATAAAAATAATTCCGATTACATAGCTGCGGAAATAATTAGAAGAAAAAATTATCATAAAAACATGTTTTATTCATCATATATTAAAAGGGAAAATAAATTTTTAGGATTTTCAATTCCTAGAGTACATTAGAGTCTTTTTAAAGGAAATAATGTTTGGATTATAAAACCTGCGGATAATAATAGAGGACGGGGAATATAAATATTTAATAATTTATAATAATTAAATAAGATTTTATAGGAATATTAGGAAAAACATATATAAATGATTTAATCTTAAATATAAAAGGAAAATATTTATAACCTTTTTAAGAAAAAAAATAATCAAATTTCTAAATTTGTAATCCAAAAATATATTGAAGAACCTTTTTTAATTAATGAAAGAAAATTCGATATTAGAATATGGGTTTTAATAACTTAGGATATGAAAATTTATATGTTTTAGTATGATTTTTTTATTTCTTTGTTTTCATATATTTTTTTTATTTTTATAGAGAAGGTTATATTAGATTATCAAGTGAGAAATATGAAATAAATGAGAATTCTTTGAAAAATAATATAATTCATTTAACTAATAATGCGATATAATAGAATTCTAAAAAATATGGATAATAAGAATAAGGGAATTAACTTTCTTTTGAATAATTTTAGAATTATTTAAAATAGAAAAATATAAATATAAATTTTTAGATGAAAATAATTTAAAGAATTAAGGAAATAATATCTCTAAGTTTTAATTCTGTTAAAAATAAAATTAATATTTTAGAAAGAAAATATTGCTTTGAAATCTTCGGATATGATTTTATTATTGATAATTATTTTAATACTTGGCTTATTGAAGTTAACACCAATCCTTGTTTAGAATAATCAAGTGAAATTGTATCTAATTTATTAAAAAGAATGTTAGGTTTTTGTTATTAATTTTTCAATATATATATTTTTTTTTATTTTAAATATTATATATAGACGATGCTTTTAAATTAACTATTGATGTTCATTATCCTAAAGTTAAATTTAAATAATAGTAATAGGTTTATCCAGTTAAAAATTATAATGATAGATATAATATGTGGGAATAAATAATACCTAATAGTTATTAAAGTTTAAAAATTCATACTTTTAATTTAAAAAAATGAATTTTTTTGATAAAAATTATGATATTTTGTCTATATATATAAATATTTTTTTTAATTTTATATTTTTGATATAAATAAAAGATAATTTTTATATATTTAATAAAAAAAAATATATAAAAATATATATATATATATATATATATTTATATATTTATATATTTATATATTTGTATATTTATATATTTATATATTTTTTTTTTATTATATATACATATTATTCTTTATAATTTAAATAATAATTAATTTTTTGTTTATTATTTTATAATTCTATTTACGGTTTATAAATTAATATAAATAAGTCACAATATTTATTTAATTTTAGTTTTATTATTAATATATTATGATTATTAGTTAAAATTAATTAATTAATTTACTTTTTTACTAAATATAATATTTTAATTTTTTTAAAAATTTTATATATAGATTTTATAAAATAAATGAATATTGTAATTGAATTTCGACTTTTTTTTATAAAATAAAACAATAAATTAAAAAAATATAAAAAGCATGAATAAAAAAAGTTATAAAAAAATAACTCTAAAAAAAAACTTTTTTAAATTTAATAAAAAAAATTTAGTAAAATATAATTAAATATGGGTTGTGGTAAAAGTGTATTAACACAAATAAAGCCATAATAAAAAATAAAAAAGAAAGATTAAAAAATATTAGGAAACGTCATTCCTAAACAATTAATAGAAGATACTTGTTATTTAAAACAAACAGAAGAAATAGAAAATTCAATAGATAATTATACAACATAATAATAAATTAATAATAATGACAATTAAATTTAAGAAAAAGTTCAAAAAAAAAGAATATAAAAAAAGGAATTAAAAAAAATACATGGAGGAGATGATTTTAATGATTATAATTTCGAAAATATAAAATAAATTCAAAAAATAAATTCTATAGAAAATCATATTTTAATTATCAAATCGTTAAGAAATCATAGAGTTTTTTATACTCTAACAGACTCAGAATTAGAAATAATTATGAAATAAATGTTCTTTTGTGAAAATACAGAAGAATATGTATTTAAATAAGGAGACTAAGCTTCTTCTTATTTTATTATTAATGAAGGAGAAGTATAAATAGAAATTAATGATTAAGTATAATTAATATAATAAAGATATACATATATATAAATATATACATAATTTATATATATAATGTATAAATATATATATATATATATATATATAATATATAATAAAATAAAAGTTTGTTAGAAAACTTAATAAAGGTGAAGGATTTGGAGAATTAGCTTTATTATATAATGCACCAAGAAGTGCATCTATAAAATGTATAGGAAAATGTACTTTTTGGGGTATAAATAGAAATACATTTAGAAAAACAGTAGGTATTTTTTTTTTTTTTTAAAAAAAAAAAATATATTATTTAATTTTTTTGTTATTCATTCCCCCCCTCAAAAAAAAAAAACAAAAAAAAAACCAAAATAATAGAGGAAATGGTTTAAAAAAATTATGAATCAAATAGAAATTTTATGGAATAAGTTAATTTTTTTAGATAACTGAATAATGAATAAAAAAATAGTATAGCTTCAAGACTTATTACCACAAAATATGAAAAAAATGAATACATTTTTAATTAAGGAGACAATGCAGATTCATTTTTTATGATTAAAGAAGGAATTGTATCGATTTGGTTAGGAAATAAGGAAATCAGAAAACTTGGAAAAGGAGACTCTTTTAGGGAATAGGCTCTTTATTTAAGTGGAAAAAGAGCTGCATCAGTACTAGCGGAAGAATAAGTTTATTTATTATCATTAGGAAGGGAAAATTTGACTAAGATTTTAGGTGATAAAATATAAGTATTTATTATTTTATATTTTTTATATATTATTATTATATTTATTTTTTTAAGATTATTATTTTTAATAATATTGTAAGATGGAGTTTTGCAAAATCATAATTATTAAAATAATTAACACATATATAAATTGAAAAAATAACAAATAATTGCAAAATTACAAACTATTAATAAGGATAAATTATTTATTCGAAAGGGTAGGTTTGTGATTAATTAATTATTGTTTTAGAAGGAAGCTTAATTAATTCTAAAGGGAAATAAATAGCAACAAAGGGATAGCTTTATGGGGATATATTTTTAAAAGAATAAAATTAAAATATTGCTTTTGAATATGATATTTTTATGTAAACTAGATGGGTAAAAAAGAATAAATAAAAATCTATATATTAAAATAAATAAAAAAAAAGTATAAATATATATATATATAAAAATAAAAAATAAAAAATATAAAAAAATATATAAAAAAATTTAAAATTATAATAAAATATATAAATAAAAAAAAAATATTTTAATATATATATAAAACATAAGAAAATACAAAAATATAATATATATAAAAAATATATATAATTAATAAAATATATATATTTATTTAATTATATATATATATAAAAAAAAAGTTAGATAATTTATAGTTATTTTAATCTTTTATTTTTATATTATATTTATTTAATTCTATTTTTTATTTTATAATTTTTTTGTTTGTTTTTTTTTTCTACTTTAATATTAATTTATTTTTATTTTTTATCATTTTTATATTAAATTAATTCAACTATAATTTATATAATAATTTTTTAATTTTATATTTAAATAGGGTTTTAAGCGTCATTTAATTTAATAATTTAAAAAAATTTATTGGTGGAGAAATTGAAAATGTTATTAAATTAAATGAATATTCACATGAAAAATAAATGTCTGAACTTTAATAAAAGAAAGATTTTTCGCATATTCTTATTGAAAATCTTATATATATTAAAAAGCTAGGACAAGGATAATTTGGTCATGTTTATTTAGTTTAAAATAAGTTAAATTTTAAAAAATATATATATAATAATATATATATATATAATATATAATATAAATATATAATATAAATATTTATATATATTTATATATATTATTTTTATATATGTTTTTATATATTATTTTATAAATAGAGATAATTTAGATTTATATGCTTTAAAATAAATATAAAAGTCCTAAATAGTAGAACAAACACTTGAAAATCATATAATTTAAGAAAAATAAGTACTTGAGAATACTAATTTTCGTTTCATAATGTAATTTTTGAGAACGTATAAAGACAATAATAATATATATTTTTTAGTCTAGTTTATTTGTGGAATGGAACTGTTTGATGTAATAAGAGATATTTAACTTCTTTCCACATATGATAGTTAATTTTACATAGGAACATTGATATTATGTTTAGAATATTTACATTCAAGAAACATTATCTATAGAGATTTAAAACCAGAAAATATTATGGTTGATTAAAATGGAATAATGTATTTAATTGATTTAGGCACTGCTAAAATATTAAAACAATAAAATAGTTAGGGTAAAAATTTATAAATCAAAAAATATATGTATTATTTTTAATTTATTTTTTAAAAAATAAATAATATATAAAATATAAATAAAATAAATAATACATACATATATATATATATATATATATATATATATATATATATATATAGGTCGTACTTTTTCTATTATTGGAACTCCACATTATATGGCTCCTGAAATAATTGTTGGTAAAGGATATTCATTTTCAGTTGATTTATGGAGTTTAGGTATTTGTCTCTATGAGTTTTTATGTGGCGGGCTTCCTTTTGCGGAAGATTTGGATGATGCTTATGAAATTTATGAGGAAATAATTAAAAATAACTTAATTTTTCCGCCTGAAATTAAAGATAGGAATGCTAAAAGAATTATTGAATAATTATTAAGTTAATTTCCTGAATTGAGGCTTGGTGGAAGTTATGCGGCTTTAAAAGCTCATCCGTGGTTCGATACAATTTCTTGGGATGATTTATATAATATGAAATTATAACCACCTTATATACCACCAAAAGATAGGATTGTGAACTTAAATGAAATTAATAATTTGGCAAGTAAAGGGAAAATGGTAATGGCGGAAATTAAGAAAGAAATAAAAAGTAATTAAAAATAATTATTTACAAAAATTCCAGGTTGGGATTAAAATTTTTGAAATTTAGAATAAAATATATTCTTTTATTTTAATTATATTATTTATATTTTGTTTTTATTTTATTTATAATTTTTTTTCCTTTCCTCTTTTTTTTTTTTTTCTTTAATATTTTTTTTTTTTTTTTAGTTTTATGTAAAAAAAAAAAAAAAAGATATTATTAAAAAATATTACTATATTTATTAATTATTTTTTTAAAAAAAAAAATGAAATTATTAATAGTATTTATTTTCTTTTATATGCTTTTCTGTCAGGAATAATAAGTATAGGAAGAATAGGAAGAATTGCCAGAATTAGACGAAACAGGAAGAAAAATTATAAGGCCTACATAATGTGATGTAGATGTAGGTACAAATGTGAAAGATATAAAATTAAATATAACACCAGAAATTTATTAAAATAACGTATTGAAAATTTTATTTAATTATAACTTCCCAAAAGGAAAATAATAAAATTTATTAGAATGTTTAAAAAAAGTAAAAAGAGGAGTTTATAATAAAAGTTTTTAAGGACGTTTTTATGAAATACCTTTGAGTTATTTAAAATATGAAAATGAAAGTAAATTTATATTAGAAATACCTTTTGAAAAAATCGGGAGATTTTGGAATGCGAGGGAATATATTTATGAAGATAAAAACTATATTTATACTTTAGAGTTTTTAGTTGAATTAGGAAATGAAAGAATGTTTTTAAAAGCATACTTTTATAAAATTATATTATAAATTAATAATTAATCATCTATATTATAGAAATTCTAAAATGAAATCCTTAGTAGTAATGGAGATTCATTAGCTACTAAAGAATATTATTTCTAATGATTTTTTAATAATTTTAAATTGTATACTTATTTATATGAAAATATTTATAATAAACTTTATAATATTTATATTTTAATGAAAATATTACAATTATATTTATTAATAAAGAGATATAAAAATAAAAATAAATAAATAATATAATAGAAATATAGATATAAATAAAAATAAATATTTTAATATATTAATATATATTTATGTTTATATTTTTTTAATTATATATTTTTATAAGAAATATTAAAATATGTATTAAATTTATAAATAAATATCTTTTTATTTTTTCTTAAAATAATTAATATTATTATTATAAAAAATATTAATATAAATTTATTTATTTTTTGTTTTAAAAAAAAATTATAATTTTATTTTTATTTAAATAAAAAATATACATATATAAATTATTATATATCTCAAAATATTATATTTATTTTTTATTTAGCTTTAAATATTATGTTATTTTATTCAATATATACTACATATTAATTTTCTTTTAAATTTATATTAAAATTAGTTATTATATAAATTTATTTATAATTTAAAGTTTTTTTTTAATTATGAATATATATTTAATAACAATATTATCTATATATATATATTTATTTAATGTTTATGTTTATTTTATTTTTTATAAAAATTAATCATTTTAAAATACTTATAAATTTTTATTTTATTATTATATACATTAATTTTTATAAATGATACATCTAAATATTATATAATTGCATTCTAAATATTTTTTTTTATAATTTTTGATTTTTTTTTTTTATATTATTTATTTTACAATTTATATTATTTTATTTTATTAAGACTTTTTTTATAATTTTTTTTAAATTTAATTTTTAAAGATATATTTTTATTTTTCGATTGATAATTATTTTTATGAATCCTTATTAATGTTAATGAAATGGTAAAATCATAATTTTGTATATTATTTAGATTATTTATTTTTTACCTTTATTTTATATCGGAATATTTTTATTTACTTTAATGTAAACGAAAATATATTAGTATCCTAATATTATTATTATTTGATTGATTTCTTTTCATTATTTGTAAGTTGTTTTTTATATTTTGCTTTATATGGATAAAAAAATTTAATCTAATTAATAATCAATTATATAAAAACTAAACCTATTCTTAATATTATTCAATCTACTTATAATACATATATATTGAGTTTTAATAATAAAGTATTTATAAATAATGATATTTTTTTATTTAATTTTTTAAAAAAAAAACAAAACAAAAATTAAACTTACAAACAAAAATAAAATATATGTATATTCTATAAATAAATAAATAAAAATAAAAAAATAAAAAAAAATGGAAAAAATAGGATATAAAACCTAAGGTTATATATAAATTCCTAGTTCAGAATTAATATTAGAAACAAAGCCAAATAATACAAAGAATATCTTATATGAATCCATAAAACAAAGAAATTTAGAAAAAGTAAAAGAAATAATGGAAAAAGAAGAAATTTATCCAAACGAGGAATTATCATAATTAGGTTATACATGGTGTTCTATACATTGTAAAAATATAAAAAATAAAATATTTACAAAAAAATAAATATATATAGATGCATGCAATTTTAAGGACGCCAATATATTAGAATATTTAATAAGGAAACATACTCTATATATAAAGAAAAACTAACTTAAATATTAAATATATAAACTAAGAAGGATGGACTCCTTTGATGATAGCTTGCATATATAATAGTGTTTCTTGCTTAAACATTCTTTTAAATACAGGAGGAGTTAATCTTTCGTTAAAAGATACTATGGATAGGGATTTATATAGATTATGTTGTTATTATGGAAGTATAGATTGTTATGAATTAATTGAGGAAATTTTATAAGATAAGATTTCATTTTTGCCATTAAATGAGTTTTATTTGAAAGTTAGTTAGGAAGAATATGAGAGTTTGTTTTTGAATGGGAAGTTTAATAATTGTATTTTATGTAATTAGAATAAAGGATATCTTAAATTTACAGTTTGTTGTTCATTTCCAATACATTTGATATGCTTTAGTGAATAAAATTTAAAATAATGCCCGAAATGTGAGTAGGATAATGTTTTTATTTGCAGAAGAATTTTTTAAGTTGAAAATGCATTTGTTTTAAATTAAAATTGAAATATTTTTTTTTTATTATAAATAAAATTTGTATAAAGAAATTATTAATTTATATATTTTTTTTAATTTTTTTTTTTTTTTTTTTAATTTAAAAAAAATATATATATATATAAAAAATTAAAAATATTAATTTTATTATATTTTATAAAAAAAAATATTATATATAAAAAAAACATAAATTTTTTTTTATTTTTTTATTTTTTTTTTTAGAAAAAAAAATATAAAATGTTAAGAAGGATTGTATTCTTTTTCGCTAAAAAGAAAAAAACAATCATTGAATTATAAGAATAACATCCAGATAAGGAATATTTTAAAAAATAATTAGAAATAGCTTAAAAAAACGAAGAAATTGAAAGTATAAAGTTAAACTTAAAAGACATAGTAATACCCATAGACTAATTAGAAACAAGATTTTCAAGAAGTTAAGGAGCAGGAGGTTAACATTTAAACAAAACAAATAGTAAAGCAGAAATTAGATTTAATATAGGAAACGCAAAATGGTTTATAAACGAAGATATAAAAAATAAATTCAGAAAATAATATAAATAATATATAACTTAGGATGATTAATTTGTAATTACAAGTTAAATAGGGAGATCTTAAGATTAAAATTTAAAAGATGCAGTAAAAAAATTACAAGATATGGTTTATTAAGTTAGTGCACCAAAAAAATAAAAAACAGAATTAATACCACCTGAAACTATAGATTTATAGAAGAAAAGAATAGATAATAAAAGAAAAAAAAGTGAAGTTAAATCTTCAAGATAAATTAGATGATAAATAGTTTATTTTTTTTAGAAATAATCGAGTTTTAATATTTAAAATAATAAAAAATAAATATAAATATATTATATATTATATATTTTCATATATATAAATATAAATATAATTTTTTAAAATCAATTAAATTTTATGTTTTAAATTCAGTTGATTTTTTTTTTATTTTATTATTTAAAAAAATAAAATATTTTATATATATATATTAATTTTTATATAATGTCTTTGCAAAGTAATTCCTTAAAATACTCTCCTTATTAATCTAAATCGATAATTGAAAAAAATAGGAACAGTCATTCAATTAATTAGAAATAACCAAAACAAAAAAAAACTATACGAACTGATTTCATTACTCCTCAAAAAATAAATAAAATAAGTAATTTTTAACTAAATTATTTACAAGACTGTATAGATGAATTTAATTTTCTTAATAAAAGAGGTTACGAGAAAAGAAGCAATATAAAATAAAATAAAATCACACATTTTTGTGTAAAAGAAAATCACGAAAAGAGCAAAATAACATATATATGTACATATTTATATTGTTAAAAGATAAATAGATTAGGTTGTGCTCATTGTTTCTTAGAAGAACATAATTTACATGAGAAAATGCGTATTGTTGATTTTTTGTAAGAAATAAAGGATAAATATAAAGAATATAATAAAATTTTTATAAGTTTGAAGGAAAATATAACTCATTTGGCTAAACCAATTTTTTTAGATGAAATAATGAAAGATTTAGAGTTTTTATAAAAGAAGTTTTTTTCTATTATTGAGAATATGAAAAATGATATAAAATTTTAATATAAGAATTATTTTTTTTAAGAAAATTTAGTTTTGTAAAAAGAATTAAAAAAATAAGAAAAGTTTAAATTTGAAATTGAAAATAGTATAAATAAAAATGTCTTTTTAATGAACTTTTAGGATTTAAATTATGCAATTAATTTAAAAGATAATGTTTTTTCGGAAGATTTAAGTAAAAGAATAGGCGCAGTTTAATAATTATATGGAGGAGTTTAATGTAAGTTTTTGGATAAAATTAAATTTAAATTTGGTGAATTTTCGGGTACTTTGGCAGAGTTTATGACTGAGTTTTTTTAGAATTATAGGTTCGATAATCTTTCATTAAAAAAATATTAAGATTTTTATAGTTTAGGGTAAAATTAAGAAAACATTGAAAAATAAAAAAATAAAGAATAACAAATATATTGATATTTAAAATTATAATAGATATAAATTTTTTGAAAAAGTATTTCAATTGAATAAATTTAAAAGAAAGTATTTTTTGTGAATAAAGTTAATTTTTATTTAATGAAAATTTTTTGATTAATTTCTTTCTTTCCATTGTTTTTGTTTTTTTTTGTTTTTTTTTATTATTAAAAAATAAAATTGCTTTTATTTATTTATGAATAAAATATATATATTTTTATTTATTTTTAATAAAAATTTTTATAAAACTATTTTTTAATTGTTTTTTTTTTTTTTTTTAATTAATTTTAAATTTTTTTATAAATCTTAAATAAAATAAAAAAAAAAACTTAATTATAAATAAAAAAATAATTTTATGACAATTAAAATTAAAAAAATCTTATTAAAATATTAATACTAACTTCAATAAAAAAACATATTAATCAAAAATAATAAATAATATTTATATACATAATAATAACAAAAATACCCAAAAACTGTTCATTATTCGACTAATAAACAGACTTTGGAGTATTTGATCTTTCTTACAAACAAAACTGGCGTCAAGGCATAGATAATAACACTAAATGTATAAATAATCCCTAAACTATATAATAATAAAATAAACCTTAAATATGTAATTTTTATTATCCTATATAAGATTTATGTAGTGGAAATGTGATTTATTAGAATAAAAAATGGACACTGTAGGTATTAAAGTAGGAAACAAATAATTATTATAGATTATATAAAATAAATATTTAATAATAATACTAATTTATCTTAAAAGTAATTCTCGGGAGAAAATAAATGTATTCGAAATGTCTAAATTTAATACATATTATAAAAATGTAAATTTTCCCCAAAAATGTATAAATTTTGAATTCAAAACGGAAAATATATTGAGGAGAGTGGAAAAATCAGACTTCGATTTATACCAAAAATTAAATTAGAAATTATTAATAAATGAAAACATTTATAAAGAATTTTTTTGTATTAATATAATGTCTTTAGAAAGAAAGCAAAATAAAGAAAATGCTATTGTGAATTTTAAATATAATATATATAACTTTTAATAAATACTAATGAGGAAATAATACTAATTTATTCATAGTATATAAATACCGAATTTAATATTTTATATAGAGTATATTGTATTGTGTTTGCTAACATTTTATGTACAGGGGGAGGAGATCTTTAGTGACTTCTTTTGTGTTTATTATAAATGTGTAATAGATTGCTTTAATATAATAGTATATAAGGTAAAAACGAATATAAAAATTGCCAGTTCTATTATACTGATTTAAAAAGTACACCTGATCTGATTATAGTCATTAATATTGAGAATTAATAATGTTTAAGAATAGAGTACTAGTTCTGGAGTTTATTTAGGAATTAATAATTAAATTATACCTGATTTTACTAAAATACATACAAGTAATGTACTTTTTGGAGGAAATTACATTTTAAAATTAATTATGGTAAAAAAATAATGTTAAATTAATTGCTAAATAATTTAAATTAATCATAAGATTTGTAAGAAGAAAACTAAGAATATAATTTATTTAAAAATTGCCGAGTTATTATTAATTCTGAGGGAGAAGGGATAATATATATATATATTGTCTTAGATTTTTAATTGTCTTTATTTATTTAATAATTGATAAATGTGGAAAATATACCAACAAATACTACTTATATTACAAAAATTAAATAAAAAAAATATAAATATGTAATTAATTATAAATTAATATTTCTAGAAGGTAATAAATGAGGCGCTATATTGTGAAAATTATTGCTATATTTTTCGCCTAAGTTATAAAAATATATGTATTTGTAAAGATTAAAGACACGAATAATTAACAAAACTATAGACTAGAATATTAATAAATAAATATGCGCACATTTTTGATTTTATCACGATATTTAATGTATTTAATGATTTCTATAAATAAATTTTATATTAAAAATTAGAAAATATAAAAAAATATATGTATTATATATACTCTTATATTTCTAATAAATTAATAAGTATAATTATATATTTAATTGAAATATGATTTTATTAAGGAAAAGCTGGAAAATCTGCAAAAGCTCGAATAGTATTTTAAATGATATTAAATTTGTTAAAATAGAAATATCTTAGAAATAGATTTCTTGAACAAATTTTAGTAATAGGTTTTGTAAAAAAAAAATGGATGGTAAATGTAAAAGAAGGCTTAAATATTATGAAAGTAAATGTAATTTATGTTCAAATATGAAATTCGGACTAATAGATAGAAATTTTAGTACATGTTTTAAAATGTAAGTTAAGCTGCTAAGTGTTTAAAATGAAAAATTATTAATGTATTTTAAAAATTATTTATTTATAAATAAAAATATTTAATTAATTTAATTTAATTTAATTTAATTTAATTTAATTTAATTTAATTTAATTTAATTTAATTTTTTGATTTTAACTTTGAATATGATTTAGATTTAGATTATGATTTCGTTTGTTTTTTAATTTAAATAATATGCATTAGTTATATAAATAATATGTATTAGTTATTAAAATAATATGTATTAGCTATTAAAATTAATTATTTTTTTTTCATCTTTATATATTTTTTGTTATTTTATAAAAAAAGAAAAGATATTTATATTATTTTAATTATATATTGACTAAGTTATTTATTGAATTGCATAAAAAACTATAAAATAGATATATTTTTAGGTTGAAAATAATTAAAATAATAGTTTTTAATTGAAAAAAAAAAAAAATTATAAATAATTATTATTTTTAAGAATAGAATAATCTATTTATTTAATTAAATATTATAATATTTTAATTTATTTCATTTAAAATTTAATTATATATTTAATATAATTTTTTTTTTATTAATTAATTATGCTAAATAAATTAAAAATATATCAATTAATTATTTTAAACAATTTTTATATACTATATTATTATCATTTTTAATTTTATTTTATTATATTTTATTTTTTTTTTTTTATATTTTAATTAAAATATAAAAAATTATATTTTTAATATTTTCTAATGTTTTTTTTTTATTATTTAAATTTTTATCATAATAAAGATTAATTTAAATTTCGAAAATTATAAAAAAATGTATTGTTTTAACATCTATTTATTTACAATAAATAATATTAATTATTTGATAATATTTTTTATATATATTTTTTTTTAAAAAAAATAAATAGTAAAATAACTTATATCCCCTTTATTTTAATTAGTTTTTGTCACTTTTAAAATTTTATTTAATTCTAAAGAAATTTATCTATTTTTTTTTTCCTTTAATAATAATAATATAGATATATTGATTTTTAAAATAAAAGTAAATTAAAATAATCAAAAAATATAAAAAATAAATAACAATAAGCTAAAAACTAAAAAATATTCAAACTAAACTAAATTATTAAATAATAATATATTTTGAAAATATGATTCATTTAAACTATGATTAAATAAAAGAAAATCTAAAAAATGATGTTTTATATATATTAGATTACATTAAAAAGGACAGATATTTCTTAAATAAACATCTTTAAAATTCCATTAATAATTATTTTTTAGAAGATTATGCTGGCCAATTTTTAAAAGATAGTCTAAACATGGCGATAGCCAGAGATATAACAAATTACTTACAAACAAAATATTCTTCAATAAAAGATGCTAAATATACATAAATAATGATAGGATATATAACTGAATTATAATTAAATGGACATGAGAAAAAATTCTAGAATTTCTTAACAGAATAAATATAAAATACATAATATAATAATGTATAATATGGAACAAAAGAATGGTAAAGCTTAGTTTGGAAAAGAGCTTTTTCATTATTTATTTATTTTTTTATTGATAATAAAAATATTTCTAATATTTTCGAAATATGGAATACTTTGTTCCCAAACGATAAAATATTAAGAAAAAGACAAAAAAATATAAACCATAGATCTGATGATTTCTAAAAAGTAAAAACTGGAAAATAAAAAACTAACAAAAATAAAACTTACAGTTTTTTTGGTTAAAATATGCCTTTTGTAAATAAAATTGAATAAAATAATGAAGATTTAGAATAATATTAAAACATTAATGAAATCCTTTTTAAAAAGCATTAATAATCAGTTGAATTTTTAGAAGAAAACATAATGTTATTTAATTAATAAAGCTTAGATTAATTTAATTAGGATATTAAATTTTGTAATAAATAAAGTTCTTATTTATAGTTTGGTGAATAAAATATGTAAGCTTTGTAATAATAGACATTTTTCTTACCTTAATTTATAGAAATTGAATAACAATAAAATAATATCTATGATAATAATTATATGATAGATTATGAAATAAAGCTTGAATAGTCTTAATCAAGTTATAATCTTATTTGAAATTTAAATTTTGTTGCATATTTTATCTATTTATGTATGTAAAAATAATTTGTAAATTATAGACATTCTATAAATATATATATGTATATATATAAATAAAATAGTGGTTAATCGTATTGATTTATTATATTTGCTTAAATATTATTTTTTAAATTAAAATATCAGATAAAAATGATATTAATTTTATTTTATTTTTAGTAAAAATTACTATATATAAAGATATGTAATTAATCATAATTATATATTTTATATTATATATATATAAGTATTAATTAAAATTTAAATTTTAAATCTAAAAAAAAATTATTTATGTTCATTTTATTATGTTATTTAAATAATACAAATATTTTACATTATTTCATTTATTATATAAATAAATATATATTATTAATATAATATAAATTATAATTTAATAACACAATTATTATTTTTTTACAAATTATATATTAAGCAAATAAAAAAAATACTTAAAATTATTTATATATTTAAATACTTAAAATATAATATAAAAGCATATAAAAAATATGATTATTTTATATAAAAAAATAATAAAATTTTAAATTTATTTATAAATTAATCAATAAAAATAATATATACAATAAATAAATAAACTTTATTATTTATATTAAATAAAATTTAATATATCAATTAATATAATATATAAGTATATATACAAAATTTTATGAATAATATTTTTTATTTTTATAAATATTATTTTAATTTTTCTAACATAAATAAATATGATATTTAATATTTCTAAAGAAATAAAAAAATAAAAATAAAAATAGATAAGAATATCTCATGTAAAATTTAAAAGAAATTAATAAAAAGTATGTACTAAAATAAAATGACAAAATATTGAGAAATAAAATATTTTAATATATTTTTTGTATTTGTTTTTAATAAGAAAAAAAAAAAATTATATAAAACAAATTAAATTTAAAAAAAAATAAAGGTATAAAAAATAATAAGATAATTAAATAAATGGATATATAAATATATATATATAAATATATATATATATATATATATATATATATTCTTATAATTCTTTTATATTTTTTTCTTGTTTTATACATTTAAATATTTAATAACTTGGACTAAATAAATTGACAAATAAAAATATAAAATTAACAAAAAATTTTAAATATTTTTCTCTATTAATTTCTTTTCAATCAACTTTAAGAATATCAGAGTCACCTGCATCTAATACAGCCATAACTGAGCATCTGTATAATTTTCCACATGTTGTACCTATTTTATTTTTATATTTTATTATAAATTTAATAAATATTTTTTTTACCTAGATCAACATTATTTCCAGTGAATTTATGAATATTAATTCCAGCTAATTATGCATAATATTCAATTTCTGATTTTCTAACAGTAGGACAGTTATTTGAAATTAAAACAAGCTTTGCATTTCCGTTTCTAATGGATTTAATTGTGGATTTGTATCCGAGACATGCCTTTCCGGATTTCATGACCAAACCAATTTTAGACTAAATGCTTTCTGCTGCAACTTATTTAACCATTTTTTAATATTTTTTTTTGTTGATTATTATTTTTTTTATTTAACTTTTAATAAAATAAATTATATATATATGTATTTTTAATATAAAATATAAATAAATTTTTTCCTTTTACTTTTATTTATTATACTAATTTTTATTTGTATTTCTTTTATTTTATACTTTATATATTAATTATAGATATATATATATATTGTTATAAAAAAAAATTTATAAATATATATAATATTTATTTATAAAAATTTTTCTTCATAAATCGGTAAATGAAAAATTCAAAAAGTTTTAATAATTAAAATAATTTTTTAAATATTAATATTATTATTATTATTATTATTATTATTATTATTATTATTATTATTATAATTATTATAATTATTATTATTTTGTTTGTCATTATTACTATTACTATTATCATTTATTTTATTTTATTATTAATCACTTTTATTAATATTATTTTTTAATGTTATGTTTTTTTTAGACTAAATTCTTTCCCTTTTTTTTTTTTTAATTATTCAAATAATTTATTTATTTATTTTAAGATTTAATATTTTTATTTTTTTATTTTTTTTCATTATACAATGTATTTAAGCATTTATACTTATTTTCATGTAATAATTGTCCGTTTTATTAAACTTTGTTAAATAATTAAATAATTATTATAATTATATATTTATTTTACTTTTATCTTTATATTTTATATTACTGAATTAATTATCTTAACTTATATTAATCAAAGAATGAAACCTAATTTTTATAAAAAAATTAAATAATTTATTTTATATCTATAAAAACCTCTTTTTTTTTATATGGTAATTAATTTTAATTTATCTATTTAATCAACACTTTTTTAACTATCAAAATAAATTTTTAATTATTAACTTTTCTATTTACTTTATAATGATTATATATCATTTAATTTTTATTTTTGAGTTTATTATGAAAAACATTATTAATTATTCAATTTTATAAAATTAATATTTATTTATTAAATCTAATTATTAATTTGTTTTTTGTTATTTATTTTTGGACTAATACTTTTTTATTTAGTTCTTATAATATTATTATCTTAATTATCATAGATATTATATTTATTTTTTAATTTTTTTTCTTAGACAAAAATCTTTTATTATACATTTATTCTATAATTATTTGTTTATTTTTATTCTAATATTTTTTCATAAACAGATTGTTTTTTACGTGTTTATTCTTGTTAGTTTTTCAAAAAATTAGTTTAATTTATTTCTATATTAATAACATCCTTATTTTATCTTTAATTTAACAAAAAATTTACGTTTTCCTAATCCTCATTCATATTGCGTTAATTAAAGTTACATACTTAAGCATTTTATATAATTTTTTTTTTTTTTTTTTAAACGAGCAATCCTAATAATTAGCTATCATAGAATTGCTTACTTAATTTTATATATTAATAGAATTAATTGTATTATTTATAGAGTTCTGTATATTTATTGAATTATATATTTAATATGGATTTTGTATATTCTTTGTATTTTGAATATTAATTTAGTTTTATATATTGTTTGAGTTTTGTATTTATTATGTATTTATACTTTTATTTAAATTTAATAAATATTTATTTTTTTCTGTTCACTTTAATTAATTTAAGTTTTCTAGTATTGACTTACTTATCTTTATTTTTTTTGATTTTTATATTATTTAAACCCTTTTAGATTTTATTTATATCATCACTATATTTTTATGTTTTATTTATGATTTTATTTGTGTTTTTTTTTTATATTTACTCATTTAATAATATATTTATATTAAATCTATTTTATGATGCTGCTGCTAACATATTTATAAAAAAAATCTTCCTATTCATTTCTAATTTATTTGTTTGTTTTATAAAACACGTAAAGAATCTTTATAAACAATCTTATTATAATAAATCAAAATATTTAAGTTTTTAAGTCTATATATATTTTAATTATTTTTATAAATATATGTATGAAATTACTAAGTTTTGAAATAAATAATATCATTTTAATCAGGTTTTAACTTTTCATATATGAGATCTATTTTTTTAATTTATTGCATCTATTTTTTCTTCAAATTATTAAATTATATTATCTAAATTCATTATATTTAATTTTATTATATATTTAATGTAATATATAATTTTTAAATCATATGTATATATATTTTTTTTTTTTAACGAATATATATATATATATATTATTAATTATATTTAAAAAATAAAGTATTTAACTACATAATATACTGAATATTATAAAAAACTTTTAAATAGAAATTAAAAATAAAATCCAATTGAAATATAAATGGAATGCCATTTTAAAATTATTAATAAATAAAAAATAAAAGTAAATAAGTTTGTACATCTATATATTGATTGAATAAAAAATTAATAAATATAAAAAAAATAAAAATAAAAATAAAATAAAAATTAAACAAAATAAATAAAATTAAAAAAATAAAACATAAAAATTTTAATAAAAAAAAAAAATATTAAAATAAGGTTAGTCTTTTAGTTAAAAAAATGAATAATACAATCATATATACTTAAAAACAATAAAATCGAGGGAATTAATAAGAAAATCAAAAGCAGCAAAGCAATAAAAAAGATAATTTGAATAAATCAATAAATAACAAATAAAATCAAGATTGTGATAAAAGAATTATCAAAAAAACAAAAATGTAGAACTAAGTTTTAACGTATAATAAAGATACTTCAAACAGCAATTCTTCTTAAAACAATTCATAACATAAAAATAATAATAACAATAATAGTTTTTCAATAAGGCGTTATAATAGTGTAAATTCAAGAAAATCCAATAAATCTAAAAAGGAAATAAAGGAAAACACGAAAGAAGATATAAAATAAAAAGAAAAATAAACAAATAATAATTAAATAAAATAAATATAATTTGATTTATCAAGAATCTATTGCTTTGTGTAAAATAAAAACTAATAATCAAAAAAATATAGAAATCATTCATTTACAAAAAAATAAAATAATAAAAATAATATTTCTTAACAGTTTTATAATAATAATTTAAGTAAATTAAATAATAATGATTCTGATAAAAGTGGAGGAGAAGAATAAAGTAGTAATTCTAAACTTACATTTAATTCAGTAACTAATAATAATTCTTCTGATTCTTAACATGAATAAACAAATATTATTCAAAAAGAAAGCAATACACATTATGGATTTGTTGGAGATAGAAAACCTTAAACATAAGAGATTTATAATAAAAAAGAAGATATATAAGATAATATAAATTAAAAAAGAAATTAAATGAGTGAAAATAAGGTATATATATATATATATATATATATATATATATATATATATATATATATATATATATATATATATATATATTCATATATTTTTTATACTAATAATTTTAAATAAGAATTGGGTTTTTTAATAAACTAATTAAAGAATTCCTATAAAATCATAATTAGAAGATATGAATATAATATTTAATAAATAAATAATTTAATAAAATTAAGTTTTATATTTACAATAATAAAATTAATAAATTTAAAGAAAATTATAACGTCCTTAATAGATTATTTAAGATTTAGGAGAATTAAATATAATATAAGAAGAAAGTGGAATATTTGAAGATAACTACGAAAATAATATTTTTTATTAAAATATTGAATTTGATAAATGTCCTAAAAATAAGAATTAATATAAAAATATTTAATTTTAATAACAAAATAATTAAATAAAATATAATTTAAATCTTTTAAATTAATAAATAAATATCTAGTGTTCTCCTAATTTTTTATAGAATAAATCTGATGAATCAAATAATATAAATATAAATAAAAAAAATTAAAAAAACAATCCAATAAATTTGTCTATAATATCTACAGATTTTACATTACATGAATCAGATAATTAAAATACGATGAGGTCATTTTCTTCTTAAGCAGCTTCAAATAAACTTTCTAATAATTAATAATTTTAAAAATATAAATAAATAAATTAAGAAATAATTAATTAACAATAAAATTAAATACTTACATATATAAAAGATTGTGAATATAATGCTTTTTTTAATAAAAAATAATATTAATAATTTAATAAATAAATTTTAATAAACTTTTAATAACCATAATAATAGTAAAAATACAACTTATAATAATAATAACAACAACAAGAATAATAATAATAATAACAACAATAATAATAATAATAATAATAATAATAATAATAATAATAATTATTATTATTATAATAAACTACTTTTTAATAAATTTTTAGTTTAAAAAATAAGAAAAAAGATGGAAATGAAATCAATTATAATATTGATATTAAAAAACTAGAAGTTGATGGTAGAACTACTTTATGTATTAAAAACATTCCTAATAAATATACTTAGTATTCTTTTTAACTAACAATTTAAAAAAATCATGGATTAAATTATGACTTTTTTTATCTTCCTATAGATTTTTAAGTATATTTTTTTTTATATTTTTTATTTATTTTTGTGATTTTTTCGGTTTTTTATGTTTTTAATTTTTTTTTTGCATTTGATTTTGTTTTGTTTAAATTAATAATATTTTTATTTCTAATTTTATTTTTTTAATTTTAAAAACAGAATAAATGTAATGTTGGTTATGCGTTTATTAATTTTATTAAACCTTAATTTATAAAACAGTTTTTTTAAGATTTTGATGGATAAAAATGGGAAATGTTTAATTCACTAAAAGTATTATTTTTTTTGGTTTTTTTTAATTAATATTTATTTTAAGAAATGTTAATTAAAATATGCTAGAATATAAGGAAGGGAATAATTAGTATAACATTTTTAAAATTCTAGTATTATGAATTAAAAAGTATTTATATATTTTATACAAAAAACTATATTTAATTATATTATATTATATTTTAATAGGAGAAATAATTTAAACCTGTTTTTATAGGAAATAATGAAATATTATAATAAATAAAGAATTAAAAAATTACTGAAAATAACAATAATACTAATAACAATAATGAAATATAGAATTAGTAATAATGATATAATAAAAATTATTAAAAACATATATATTTATATATAAAAAATAATATATAAAAATTATATATATATATATATATATATATATATATAAAATACATTTTATTAATATTTATAATATATTAAGTATTTTTATTAATTTTTATTTTTTTTCTTTATAAAATAAAAAAAATAAAAAACTAAAATAATTTTCTTAATTAAGATATTATATTTGTTATTTTCTTTAAAAAATTTATATTATTTATATGTAATAATACTATTAAATACTTTTTGTTTATTTGTATTCTATTAAAAATTATTTGTTTCACTAAATATTTTTTTCTAATTCACTTTTTCTATAGACTACGTCGGGATTTTCAAGTCTTTTAATTTAAGGAATTGGATTTAAAGATAATAGAATATCCGGATGTACATTTTTAAATGCAATTTAAGGATTTAAAATAAATCTTGTTTCTTAGCATTTATCTTCTTCATTTTAAAATATTTTGGTTTATACTTTTTTTTATAGTATCATTATTTTTAATACATTATTATATAAAGCTGTTTCTGATTTAAATAAATTATTTTTAGTTGCTTTATTGTCTTTTTAGTATTCTTCCCATATTTAATTTTAAGATAAATTTCCTTTTTGGTTTAACAATTTCGAAATCCATATTTAAGGACCGTCTCTGACATAATATTTTTCTTTTTTTTATAATAATTCCTATCCTCTTTTATTATCATTTGATTATAATGCTTTTAAAGCTAAATTGTTATTAGTTTTGGAATTAGCTTTGATAGCATTATTAGCAAACCAATTAAATTATTTTATTTTATCCATATTTATTTTTTAGTAATAATTAAATATAAATAAAGTATATGTATATATATATTTTTGTATTTTTTAATAAATATATATAATTTATTAAATTGTAAGACTAAAAACTATTTATATATAATAAGAATTTTAAAAAATAATTACAATAGTGATATAAATTTTATATTTTCTAAGTAATTTATATTTATTAATTATAAGAAATAAAATGAATGTCAAATATATTTCAAAACATATAAAGTTAAGATTTTAATTTAATTACTTTTATATTATAATAAACTAATAAAAATTTTATTAATTTATAAATGATTTGATCAATATAGAGTGAATTAAATAATTTTTAAAAATAAAATAATAACTAATATATAATAAAAATAATTTAATAAAGAATATATGAAAAATAAAATAATTAATATAATAAAAAAAAAAAATATACAAATATATATATAAATTATTTATATATATTTAAAAAAATAAAAATTATATAAAACGAATTAAAATAATAATAATTACAATTAAAAAAAATAATAATAATTTATTTATAAAAAAATTAAAAAAAAAAATAATTAGCATTTCCATATAAAAAAATAAAAAAAGCATTTAAATCCTTCCAAAAAAATAAAATAAAAAATGTAAAAAGAAGTAGAATTAGAGTCTTAAAATTAAAACGACTTTAAAATAAATGAATCATAAAGTATCCAAGAATATAAATAATAAAAATCAGAATTGCCTTAAAGCGACATAGCTAGCAATGAAAATAATTATTTGAGTTATTAAATAAATTTAAAAAATTGTTTTAAAAAAAATCAAAGTCAATTTTAAAAAATAATTTAAAAAATAAAAATATAATTTTAATCCTGTTTTAAATTCACAATATTTTGGTTATATATATTAATCCAAATAATATATGCAATAATTAATATATCAGCCTGTTTAACTGCAAATACCGAATTAAACGAATTAAAAAATTCTAAATCATATACATATGCTTAATAAACTATATAATTATGGTAAAAAAATTTTATTTTGTAAATCGTTGCCACTTAGAATAACAAATGCCCGTAAAATTTCAAAGAAGCTTTTTCCTTTAATTGGCCAGGGACGATTCAAGGATGTGCATGTCCGTATTAAGATTAAAACTTTGATTAAATATACGTCTTAAAAAGAGCATGTGATAGTGAATTAGTTTCTTTAAATTGCTTTAAAATAGAAGAATAAAGTCCAGAAAATATAAATAAATGGAAAAACTAATTATTAATTTGTGTAAGGAGAGATATTAATTATAGTTTTTTTAACTCGCCTACAGGATGTAATATTAAAGATAAGCTTTTAGGATATTCAATTTGTGGAAGTGGATAGGCAGCTGTATGTAGAAAATAATATTAAGAATGTCCAATAACTAGAATAAAAAAAGTCGATCTAAATAATATTGTTATAGGAAATACATCAACATATGTATATATTATATATAAATAAAAATATATATATATGATATATATATATTTATAAATGTAAATATATATTATTATATATATTTGTTTAGATAGATATTGATGACTTTACTACATTTGAATATGATTTTAATACTGAAGATTATCCATTATCCATTTTTAGAATAGATGAAGAAGCGCATTGTTTGGATCTAAATATAAATAACTTATCTTCTTAAAAACCTGGTGATTTCATTTTATTAAATACTAAAAGATAAAAATGTAGTGAAATAGATAAGAGGCCCATTTTATTAGATAGTGTAAATGAATATACCCTTTTTTAATAAAATTCTTAATTATTTAACAAAGTTATATAAAAAATTCCTGGATATCCGAATCCTAGTGATAATATTTAATGGGTTTTAAGTAGAATGAACAATCCTAAATGGTCTATGAGTTGTAGGGATAGCGCTGAATATAACATGAATAAAACTTAGGAAAGATTTGAACTTAAAAACGAGGAATTTAATTCTGTACATATAATCATTACTACTGTATTATAATTTTTTGTCTGTGGAATTCTACTTGTTATTTTTGATATTTGGAGATTTTGGAAAAGGAGAAAAGAAGTTCAGTTTTTTAAAGATGTTTAGTAAGAATAAGTTAAAAAATAAAATGATAATGAATTTGACCAAAAAAATGTTTAGGAAATCTTTCCAAGGGAAAAAGGTTGGGTGTTTAAAAGTTATATCTGTATTGAGATTTTATGGGTATTTAAAATCATTAATTTGCCGTCGATTTTTATAGCTTATTTAAATGTTTAGAAAAGCTAGAAGTGGTTTTAGTAAAGTATTGGATACGATTGTGGGGATTAATTCTATAATAATCAAATAGAAAAAAATTATTATTATTATATCAATAAAATGTATTATAATTATGGAATTTAATTAAGTTTTTGGTGGATTATGGGCTTAGTGGATACAGCTTATTTCTTAATTAGATATTTTTTGGAGTTTAAATAAGCATTAAAAGAAGAATAAATAACTGATATGTTGAAATATTAGAAAAATAATGATAAATAAGAAAATTAACATATTCTTAATACCAATTAAAAAGAATAAATAGTTGATGATGAAATTAATAGTTCATAATTTTAGAATTAAGATGATGAAGTCAAAAAAAAATAAAATTGATATGTTTTTTTGAGTGATAAATTATATTTAAAAAAAAAACATTTACGAATTTTTTATAAAATATTTATAAGTAAATATATAATAAAAAAATAAAAATATATTATATTATAATATTTAAAAAATTAAATAAATAAATAAATATATATATATATATATATATATTTATATTTATATATATTTTTTTATATATTTTTTTTTTAAAAAAAATAAAATAGTTTAATATAATAAATAATTAAATAAAAAAAATTTTTAATTTAAAATATTACTTATTATATTTTGCAAAATTAATAAATATAATATAGTTAGCATTATCGAGTAAATATAATATTATAAAATTTTATATGAGTTAATATTTTTTATCATATAAATGGTTTTAAATTATATTTTTCATTTTCATTTTCTATTTGAATTAATATCATTATAACATTTTCCATATTATTACGATGATGTCTAATAATACTATATAAATTTAAATAATATATTTTTAATTAAAATAAATCTTTTAAATACATTTATTCCATTCATAGGCCATGGTATAGAACTAGAATTTCGATTATTGCTATTACTTAAATTTGTATAATTTAATTTTTAATCAATATTATTATTTTTTTTATTTATTTAAATCTTTTAGTTTTATTATTATTATTATTATTATTATTATTATTATTTCTATTATTATTATTATTAATTATTAAATTATAGAATATTATTCATTCCTTTAACACTTTTTTTTTATATTTTATATTATATTTTTTTTATTTTTACTTTTTTTTATTTAAATCAAGATTATTTAATTCTTTCTCAGCATCTAAAATTTATTACCTTTATTTTTAATATAAAATATTTTTTTTATATTATAATTTAATTTACTCAATATTTTTTAGCTTACTATTATTATTGTTTTATTTTTAAACTTATTACTAGTGATAACAAATATTATTAACATAATTTTATTGTTCTAATTATTATTGTTATTTTTTTAATTATTATTATTATTACTATTAAATTTATTATTATTATGTGTATTAATATTATTATTTAATATAATTTTTTTCTTTTATATTTAAATTATCTATTTTATTTATTTTTTCTTAATTTTATAATTCTTCATTATTATTTTCAAATATTTCTTATTAATATTGCTATCGTATTTTTTAACTCTATTAATTTTTTAATTGTAGATTATTAGGTTAAAAATAAGAATCATATATAACAAAATTATTATTTTATGGTATATAATTTATTAAATTATAATGTTTTCTAAGAAACGAAATTAGCTTTTCTGATGGCCTATCATAAGCTATTTTCGATGGCATAATATTTTCTTCCTAAATCATCTTTTCAAAAAGTTACTATTATATTTTTATTTTTTATTATAATTAAAATAATTTATATCTATATATTAATATTATTTTTATACTTTTCCTATTCCTTTTCTTTATTAACTTTCATGCACGTAAAAATCTAATACACATAGTGGTTTCAATTCTTTTATTTATCCAAAGAAATCTCTATAAAATAAATTTTTATATCCAACTTTTATAAATCCTAAGCATTTTCTATCTTCAACTTTAATATAAAGCTTATGTCCATTATAGCATAGTTTATCATATTAAGTTATTGGTTATTTGAGATTTTAAGCCTATTTTATATATTTTTTATTAGTTTTTATTTTGTTTTTTTTTTAAAAAAATTAATAATAAAAAAATATATTATATAATTTTACTGACAAATGCTGATTTTTCACCCATAATGTTTATTAGTTCTTGGATTAGTTAGTTTTATATGTTTGATTTTATTGTTTTAGGCGCGCATTTTTGCTAGAATATACAAAATCCTTAACTGTCTATGTCTAAAATATTACCAATTTAAAATTTGAATTCCATCAAAAAAAAAAAAAAAAATATTATAATTTATTTATTTAAAAAAATATTTTTTTTTTTTTTTTTTAAAAATATAATTAAATTAATTTATATTTATAATTATTTTAAGTAAAAATATAAATAAAAAAAAATGCATCGACCGGGAATCGAACCCGGGTCAAAGCGATGGCAACGCTCTATTCTACCATTAAACCATCGATGCTTTATATATATTATATTAATGTTAATATAATATATTTTTAAATTTATTTAAATTGGGAAAAAACTAATTTTTTTTTTTTTTTGTTAAAATATAAAAAAAAAATATTAGATTTTTATAAAATATTATTTTTCCATATTTTAAAATAAATTTTATTTAATTAGATTATATATAAGAACAATTATATTTAGAAAATAACCTTTTTATATTTTTATCTTTAAAAGAATTTAAATATAAATAATAAAAAATTTTAAATTCAAAAATATTATTAAATACTTAATTTTTTTTATGGGATTGAATATAATAATTATTAAAATATAATGATAAAAAAAAAAGTATAAGGAAATATAAATTACTCTGTATCTGAATATTATTTTTGTTACCTTATATTACTTACGAATTTTATTATAAGAATGTTTATAATTAAATAGTTAATAGATTAAATAATAAATCTTATTAGAATATAAAATAAGCATATTATTAAATTATTAAAAAATATTTAATTTAAATAATAATTAATGAAAATATTAAAAAAAAAAATTAAAATAAAATATATAATTTCAAAAAAAAAAAAAAAAAAATCATATAAATAAATATAATTTTAAAAAAAAATCATAAAATATGTCCATAACTAATCTTCCAAAATCTCTTATAAACCTTCTAACTATATTATTAATACTTTAAAAAAACCATATAAATACTTACCTCACTTTAAAAATATAAAAAACCCCTCGTACTCTATAAATCCTTCCAAAATGTTATCAAATCGAATATATATAAGAAAAAATATGTACATATAAATGCTCTCCTAAATACTATCCTTCTGAACTAAATTCAGAAAACAAAAAATAATGTTTTCCTTGTCATTCTTCATGTTTTATATGTAAAGGTCCATCAAATACAGACTGTATATAATGTCAAGAAAATTTTTTTATGTATAAAAAAGAAGGGCGATGTTATGATTTATGCCCATTAAATACATTTTTAGATTTATCGAAAAAACAATGTGAGTAATAATGTCCATTGTATTTTTTTGCTGATAATAATACAAAAGAATGTTTAAAATGTTAAAAAAATTGCCTTTTGTGTGTTTCCAAAAATTCTTGTATTAGATGTGAGTTCGGATTTTTTTACGATTAGGAAAAAGGAGAGTGTTTTTCACTTAGTTTATAAATTGATTATTGTATAAATGATAGTAAATATTTAAATTTATAGAATTTTCAATGTATTCCATGTAGTAAAAATTGCAGAAAATGCAATATTTTCAGATGCTTGGAATGCTAAGGGGAATTAGGAGAGTTTCTTATAGATAATAATACAGGAACATGTGTCTAATGTGCAAGTTTAGTTGCTAATTGTGCAAAATGTAGAACCGATTTTTTATGTTTAATTTGCCAAGAATCATTTATAATTGATTTAAATACAGGAAATTGCCAAGAAGGATGTATATAGGGTAAATATATGGATAAAAAAAGAGGAAAATGTGAATATTGTCCTTTAGAATGTATTTAATGTGAGTTATTAGAAACGAATTTAATATGTATTTTATGTATAGAAGGTTATTTTTCAAACGAAAATAATAAGTGCAAAAAATGCAGTGATAATTGTGAAAAATGCTCTTCTTAAGAAAAATGTGAAAGATGTTTAGATCTTTATTTTCTTTTAGAGGAAAGATGTATTAAAGAATGTCCTAAAGGCTTTTTTGGAAATAATGAATCCAGAGAATGTCTTAAATGTAATCCTAATTGTGCTGAATGTGCCAATATTAATGAATGTTAGACGTGTATTTAGGGCTTTTTTTTAGATATAAATGATAAGTTTTGTAGTTTATGTAATCCAGAATGCTAAGAATGTGTTTTATAGGCAAGTAATTGTACTATTTGTGCTTTTTTTATGTATTTATTTTAAGTTGATTAAAATACTGTAAAATGTGTCGATTCTTGTCTTCCGACTTAATTCGCAGATGAAAAAAGAAGATGTATAGAATGTCCATTTTCTTGTAATTAATGCATAAGTTCGAACAAATGTACTAGCTGTAAATAAGGATTTTATTTCCAAAATGATAATGGATAATTTATTGGAATTTGTTTAAAATGTAATTCAAGATGTCGAAGATGTGAAAACTAGTCTTTTTTTTAATGTTTTGGGTGTTAAAAAGGATTCTATTTAGATGGATAAACATGTGATAATTAATGTAGTTTAGATAGATTTTTCGGAAACTCGGATAATAATAAATGCGAAAAATGTATTAATTTTTGCTTAGAATGTGTTAGTTATAACCAATGTACGAAATGTGTAGAAGGATATTTTTTTTAATAAAATTAAGTTTGTAATACTTAAGAATGTTAGAATGAAGAGAAATGTATTAAATGTGCAAGTTAGTGTAGAAACTGCATAGGAATATAATCATATTGTACTTCTTGTTTCCCTTTAAGTTTTTTATTTAATGGGGAATGTTTAAAATAATGTCCTTAGGGTTTTTTTGGGAATACTAAAAATTAAAAATGTGATGAATGTTAAGTTATATATATATAAATAATAATTAAATATATATATATATAATATTTATATATAGAGTCCATGTTTAAATTGTATTGGATATACAATATATGAATGCATATCTTGTATATAAGGTTACTATTATAATTCAAAAAATCTTATAAAATGTATATCTTGTGATACTTAAGCTTGCGAATAATGTTCTTAACTTACATCTGGTATAATTGAATGTTATAAATGTAAATAAGGTTATAAATAAGATAGAAATACAAAAGAATGTATAGCATGTAATGATGGGGAGTATTCTTCAGGAAGTTCTTGTTAAAAATGCGATTCTTAATGTAAGAATTGTATAGGAAAAAATCCTGACTAATGTACTGCTTGTACATAGGGGTTTTATGTAAGATTAATATATTAAAATGCTGGCTTTTGTGAAAAGTGTTATGATTTATGTTACATGTGTATTTCAGGAGGCGAAAATGCATGTACTAAATGTATTTTCGGATATTTTTTATTCGAAGGTTTTTGTTTTAAAAAATGTATAAATGGACTTATAGAAAATACTTAAACTAGATAATGTGAATGTTAACAAGTATTAATATAAATATATAAATAAATATATATATATATCTATATATATATATAAAAATAAATATATATGCATATATATAATATATTTTATTTTACATATATATTTATTTAATAAATTTTTTATTATATTTATAGGATTGTTTAAAATGTATTTTTTTAAATAAAGATTAATAAATTTTATGTGTATAATGCAAAAATTAGAATTTTTATAAAGATAATTATAATTGTGTTAAATAATGTCCTTTAAATAAAATTACAGATATTGAAAATCGTTTATGTGTGTTATAATGTGAAAATAATAAGTTTTTTTATCCCTAATTGAATATTTGTTCTATTTATTGTAATTATTTTACTCACTTTGACTCTAAAAATATTCCTATATGCATTAAAATATGCCCAGATGGTTTTTATAATGATTTAAAATAAAATGCATGCATATAATGCCATTATAAATGCAAAACATGTAAAAATTCTTCCGAAAACGACTGTTTATCATGTAATGAAGGCTTTTTTTTGCATAAATATCTTTATTTTTGTAACCAAAGCGAATGTCTTATAGGATATTAACAATTAAATTCAAACGAATGTGTTTTATGTTTATAAAATTGTTAATTATGTGCCCAAAATATGCTTTATTATGACAATTAATGCTTCGAAAAATGCCCTTTGGGGTTAAAATAGTAAAGAAACATATGTATTTTTGACCCTAATATTTCCCTAGAAGTTGAGAACGAATAAAATCTATTATTAGTAAATCCTTATGAAGATTTAATAATAAAAGGTTTTATAATAAACGCATAAATGGAAGATTTTGAAGAAATAGAGTGGTTTTTGGAAAGAAGTAACAATCAAATTTTCGAGAAAGACTTTAATAATATAGAAGATTCTTTTTTAGGTTTATTTAAATTTGGTATGTTTTTATATATATAATAATCTTTTTTGAGAGGAAATATGGATTTGTAGTTTTTATTGAAAATAAAATTAAGAAAATAATAAAAATAGTTTTTTTAGAAATAAATAAGTGTAAAAACACTTCCGGAAATTATTAATAAAGGAAAATTTACTGTATATTAAAATTAAGGGAAGTTTTTTTAATTTACATTTGGGTAATTTCAAAATACAGAAAGTTTAAACTTTTCTATTACTTGTTAAAAAATATACATTTTAGATGATTGGTATGATGAATATAGGTAAAAAATATACATTTAGAAGGGAATAATGTAATATAATAGTATTGTTTAGACTGAATTAGTGGAATTTCCTTTACATGTGGAATAATAGGAGTTTATTTGTGAAGGAAAAGTTACTACTATGAGATAAAAATTGGAATCTTTTTTGTATTTATAAGTTTCAATTTAGCCTTTGGAAGAAAGTTCTATATTTATATTTATTGAGATAGTTTCATAGAAAAATATTTAGGATTTAAATGTAAATGAACTAGTTTTAGGGCTTAATTCTTTAGACTTTTTATTTTCGAGTAATGAAATCATGATTTTTGAAGAGAATTATTTAACCTTTAATTGCGGTTAGAAAGGGTTTTTTGGTATTTTTTGTTAATACAAAGAAGAGAAATATAAATTAGTAAAGACTTTAATTAAAAAGACTTCTTTTTTTTTAGAAGAGTAATTTAAATTAGGAAAAATGGACTTTTGGATATTTACGCCTTTGTTAAGGCAATATTTAAAAGGTTATATTTAAGTTGAAAATATAGAATTATTAAATTAAATAATAAAGTTTTTTGGGTAATAAATAGAGGAAAATGATATAGAAATTTATTATAATGATATAATATAGATTATTAATTATATAATTATACATATAAATTTTTCTATTATAAATGAAAAAAAAAAGATTTTAATAAAATTATTTAATATTTTAGATAATATTATGAGACAAAATTGTAGATATATGAAAAATGGTTAAACTATGAGATTTTCTGAAGTCTTATTTAAAAATTTGGCATATACTTTTTTTTTCCATTCTTTAATTTAGACGAAATTTTATTAATTCTAAATTTAAAACAGGAGAAATTTATCAATTGAATTTGACGAATTATTTCTTGTTTTTTAACCTGAAATTTAATTAGAACTTAATTTATGTGTTTTTACAGTTTAAGCCAATATTTTTAGGTTTATTCCATTTTTATTTGACCTAGAAAGTAATGATTATGCGATAACTTCATTTTTTTACCTTTGTTTTTTTTGCAATTAATAGCATATTAAAGAATTTTCTAACGGAGGATTTTAAATTTAACTAAAAATAAACGAAGAAGTAATAGAAAAGGCCAATTATTAATGTATAATGTACAATTTTCAGACTTAAACATGGGAATTATAGCCTAGTACTTTTTCTAAAAAAAATACTATCATTTGTACAAGTAGATATAGCGGGATATTTGTTGGAATTCGAAAAAAATAAGAAAAAGAATCCCTTTAAAAAATGATTAAATACGAGAGTATATAAAAAATAGTTAGTATAAAAGACTTTCCATTAAATAATTAAGAACATAAAGTCTAAAGTATAGTTTAAAATATTTAAATGTAAATATAAGTGCTCAAATAGGGAGGAATTTAAGAAAATAAATACTTTATAGATAATTTATTAGATATAAGAGGATAAGAAATAATAATATTAACACATATAATGTTTCCTAATTTAAATACGTTCAAATATTACCCTTAATTCGAATAGCCTTATGGATTATTTTTCTTTTTTGGGGTTCTTGGGTTTTTAGTTTTGGGCTTTTTTTATATAAAATTAAATATTTCAATGTTTTTAAAGAAGTTTTTGAAATTTTTAAGAGATTTGATTTCTATTTAACCTAAACATTCTTTAAAGGAAGCGGAGGAAAGTAATGAAATATACGAAAATTGTAAAAATGATTACAAGACGAGATTCCAATTTGAATCTTTTGAGTAAATAAATAATATTAAAATAGGAAATAATAATATTTAATAAAATAAATAATAAGTTTAGATTTAATTATAAAAAATTATGATTATAGAAAATCCGCTTAGATTTTGTTTAGATAAACCCTAATTTATGTGTCCTATATTATCTGTTTTTTTTAAAAATTGTGAAAATAAATAAGTAAAAATGATTTCTTTTTTAAATCTTAATTTAATTATAATAACACATGGAGCCTTAGGAATTATTTTCGGTATTTCCTTTTAATAATTATCAATTAATTTTTAAATTTCTATTTAAGTTTTGGGATGTTTATGTGTTAATTATTTCTCTTTTGGATTCTATAATTTAATTTTTTATTCTATTTATTATAAAAAAAAGTATTTTTTATTAAAAGGGAATTCTAAAGAATTTAATGATATAGTTGAAAGATGCTATTTAATTGGATTTTATCTAGTTTTTTCAATTCTTTTTGCAATTTTTAGTTACTGTGTCTGTGTTTTTGGGTAGTTAATGTATATTTTGGATTGTGGATAATTGGTTAAATAAATTAGTTATGGTTTAATTATAGATTAGATGTTTTTGGAGTTTTTATTCTTCCTTTTTTATAAAATTGGGTTCAAATAAAAAAAATTAAATAAATTTTTTAGATTTTGGGTTATTATTAAAGGATTTGCTGTTAATTTTATTGAAATTGTAAATTATTATGAGAAAAAATCATTTTAAGTTTAAAGGCAAGCAAGAAAAAATTAAATTAATAATTATTAATTAAAAGGAGATATAATTGCTAGTAGAATTAATACAATTTAAAGATAAGTATATTAAATGCTTATATAAATATATATATATATATATATATAAATATATATATATATATATAAATATATATATATTTATACATATATAATATTCCTTAAATATTTTAAAGGATAGTATTAGAAGTTAAAATAGATCTAATAGTGCTAGTCCAAGTGCATTTAAGTAATAAAATATTTTCTTTAATAAAAAAATTATCGAAAGTATTTAAATAAAGTGATAATAATCTAAATATATTTTTTTTTCAATTTTGTTAATTTAATAAATACTTTATTAGTTAAAATAATAATATATATTTACAAAATAAAATCATTCTATATTTTATTCTATTTCCAATTCATTTTTTCCATTTTCTTAATAATCTTATTAATTTTAATCAATATCAAAATATTAATTTTATTCTACACAAATATCTTATTTAACCAAAAAGTACATAAATATAAAATAAAATGCTCCTCCTAAAAAAACTCCTAAGAAAATAAAAGCCTAAATGATTTGATTTTCAACCATCCCAAAAACCCCTTCATATAAACTAATAAAGGCATTCACATAATTCATACCAACAATCCCAACTGAAAATCCGATTAAAAGCCACATTTAATATTTTCCTATAAGAAATTCCTTTCCCATAATTTATTCACTACTATTAAATTTTAACAACGGAATAATTGCAAAAGGCAATTATATAGCCTATAATACATTTAAATAATCATTATAATCACTATTTTCATCCCAAAAAGCAATAATAAAAGATGGTACTATAGCTATAGCTCTTGAAATTAAACTTCTTAAATATAAATTTATATTCATTTTAATAAAACCAGTCATTATATATTAACCCGAAAGTGTTCCTTCAAAAAAAAAAAAACAATAAAAATACAATTAAAATATTTACATATATATTTAATTATTACCTGTTAATGTAGATGATTAACCTGCACAAATCAAGCCAATTCCCCATATATATTTAGATAAAGTTCCAAATGAACTTTCTAGGGCCAAACCTGCAGTTTATAGATTCATATCTGAATGTTCAGTTTAATAAAAAGAAGCGAAGGTAATAATAATCGCTGAACTAATCAAAAATGATAAAAATAATGAAAAAGCGCATTCTATTTTATAATAAACCAGTATATTTTTAATAAAAGAGATATTATTAGTATCTATTTTTTACTCTCTACTTAAAGATGAGTGTAAATATAAATTATGAGGCATTAAAACTGCTCCTATGAGTCCCATCATTGGAAAAATACCACTTTTTGGTATATTTGGTAAGAAAAAACTTTAAAGAATTTCCCCGAAATTAGGTTAAAATAAAAAAACGTTTAAAAAAAAGCAAAGCCCCATTAAACCTATAAAAAAACAAATTAACAATTCAAATTTTTTATCACCATTTCCTTTCATTAAAAGGCATATAAAACTTAAAAAAATTGCTAATGATACTCCTATCCATAATTTTAAACCGAAAATAATATTTAGGCCGATTGCTATGCCTAATACTTCTTATATATCGCTACCTATAATGGCTATTTCGGCCATTATCCATAATGAAATAGATGTTTTTGTATCGAAGTTATCTCTACATAATTCTGCTAAATCTTTCCCTGTTACTATTCCTAGTTTCATGGCTCTTATTTAGAAAAAATAACCTAATAGAGTAGTCATAAATAATATAATTATTAAATTATAACGAGCTTTAAGTCCTGCTTAAATATCTCCGGCTATGTTTCCGGGATCTAAATATCCCAAAGATATTAATAAACCAGGACCTAGGATTTTAAATAATTTTTAAAAGGAAAAAGTATCAGTTTCGATTTATATTAATGTAAAAGAATTAATATTTTATTCTTATATAGGTTAAAAAATCATATTTAAAATATGAAGAAAATAAATAAATATTAAAAATATAAATATATAAGAATATATAAATAAATATATATATATTAATATATATATATATATATATATATATATTTTTTTATTATTTGTAATGTTAATTTTTTTAATTTAATTTATATTATTTAAGAATTTTAAAATTATTAATTTTTATATATATTATTAAACTTGTTTATTCAATATAAATATAATTTATTATACGTCTATACAAATAAATATAATCTATTATATTATTTAACATATCTTTTTATTATAAAAAAATTAAATATAATAAAAATTTAATATTTATATTTTAATAATTATAAAAATGATAAAATCATCTAATTTTTCTAAAGAATGTGGCTTATCAATAGGAGATTCTATATGTAAATTTAATTTCCCAATAAACCATGATTAATCTCCTTTATATTTTTTAAATGGTGACGTAACTTCTTATGGACATAAATATTTAAAAATGCCGTAAAAAGGATATGATATAATAATGAAAAACATACTAAATCAACAAAACCATTCTTTTTTATTTTATGAAGATACTATTAATGCAAGAGAAGCTATTGCGAAACATTTTAGTAGCGAAAAAACAAAAATTAATTCTAATGATATATTTTTAACACATGGAGCTAATATGGGTTTATATTATCTTTTATTAGCGACAGCTAATCCTGGCGATAATATATTAGTACCAGAACCTAGTTATCCATTTTATCATAAGAATGCACCAGTATAAAAAAAAAAAAAAATCATTTATAGATTGTATTTTATAAATATAATTTATTTTCTGTAATTATTTTTATATGTTATACAAAAAAATAAGAAAAAAAAGTAATATTGCATTTTAGCATTCATTTTAAATTTTAAAAAATAATTACAGATAGAAAAATAAAGAAAAAAATAAAAATATAAATTAGAATAAAAAATTATATATAAATATATTTATATATATTATATATATTAATTATATATAATTATATATATTTATATTTTATAAAGAGTATTGGTGTCTAAATACGTCCGTATTAATTATTGCCTTAATAAAATTGGGAAATAGATTTTGAATAATTAGAAAAATTAATTGATTAAAAAACACGTTTTTTATGGATAGTTAATCCTTCTAATCCCTGTGGTTCAATTTTTAGCGAACAACATATGTCTGAAATATTTTCTTTTTGCAAAAAAAAATCTATTTTTATAATAAGTGATGAGGTTTATTGGAATGAGTCGTTTTCTGATTAAAAATTTATCTCTTTTGGACATTTTTAATAAGATGATGTTCCTGTAGTAGTGATAGGTGGCTTTGAAAAGACATTTTTAGTACCAGGATGGAGTTTTTCATGGATTATTTTTTTTGATAAAAATTATAAGTTAAAAAATATTAAATTTGGAGTAGATTCTATTTATTAAATTTTTCTAAATCCATGCTCGTTTTTAATACATTCTGTACCGGAAATTTTAGACACATTGACAGCCGATTATACAAAAAACTAAATGGTACATTTTGAGGAAAACTATAATTTTTTATTCAAATAATTAAAAGAAATATAAGGTCTTTAACCAATAAAGTCTTAAGGAACATTTTATTTAGTAGTTTTGATTTAATTGGAGTTTTTTCCAGATTTTAAAAATGATTAAGAATTTTTGTAGGGATTATTAAATCAAGAAAATATTTGTATATTAAACTTAAGTTCGTTTAATGGAAAATATCAAGGGTTTAGGATGCTTACTTGTGCGACTATAGATGGACATTATAATTAATTTATTGTAAGAATAAAAAGATTTTGCATATAACATTATAATAAGGTTTGATTTTATAATAACAATATATATGTATTTAAGTTTTTTATATATAGATAATTATATATAAATATAAAAATATTAACAAAAATAAGAAATTATGTATTTCTTTTATTATAATAACATAATTTATATATATAAATATACTTATATATATATATATATATATATATATATATATATATATATATATATATATATATATATATATATATATATATATAGATTTTTATTTATTTATTGCATATTCATTACTTTTATTTTTAAAATATTAACAAAATATTATTATTTATTTATAATAACTTCTTATATATGTTTATTTATAAAAAGGTTTATTTATTTAAATACATTTTTAATTTTTAAAATATAAAAAAAAATGTCTGATTTAGTAAAAAATAAATGTTAAATTAATAGATTTATTTAAAAAAAATAGTTACAATTTTAAAAAACACCTTAAGAAGAAACCGAATAAGCTATAAGATAATTACTGTTAAACGAGCGAATACGTGCGTTAGCATTATATAAGCATTTACAAGAACAAAAAAATTTAGATGCAGAATTAAATGATAAAATACAAGAATTAACGCTCTAATATGAATTTAAAATGCAACCAATTTATAAAAAATAACAATAATTGATATAAGGACGTATTCCTACAAACGAGGAATTAAAAGACATTGAAAAATATAAAATAAAAGATTTAATAAATGAAGACTTTTCAAAGAAAGAATTAAAAAAGAGGATATTAAAATAAATGAATAAAATAATTCTTTAGAATAATAATAAGAATAAAAAGGTATAAAAAACTATTGGTTAAAAGCATTATAGAACCATGAAGTAACAAAATTAGAGATAAAAGAATAGGATTATCCTGTATTAAAATATTTAAGAAACATAGAATATGTTCCAATTGATATTTATAGATTTTAATTAGTTTTTGACTTCTATCCAAATGAATTTTTCGAAAATGAAAAATTAATAAAAAGTATAGAAGTTAATGATGAAGATGAACCTATAAATGCTATAGGGACAGTCATTTAGTGGAAATAAGGAAAAAATACTACAGTTAAAATTACTAAAAAAACTCAAAAAAATAAATAAACAGGTGCCAAAAGAGTAGTAGAAAAAGAAGTTGGATGTGAGTCTTTTTTTAATTTTTTTAAAAATACATCACATAATAAAAAAAATGAATTATTGGAAAAAGATTAAGAAGAAAATAAAAAAGATAATGAAGATATATAAGATGTTGAATTATTAAATAGGGATACTGATATTGCGAGAGCACTTTTTGATGATATTATACCGTTTTCACTTGAATATTTTCTTGGTGTTGTTGAAAGTGAGGATGAAGAAGAAATGGAAGAAGGTATATTTTATTTTTAAATAGTATATTATAAAATTTTTTATAGATATAGATGATGATGATTTAGAAGATATGAAAAATTAATTATAAAATGATCTTAATTTTGGAGGTTTATCTCAAAAAAAAAAAAAGAAAAATAAAATAAAAGATACATAAGATTGCAATTAATAATGATAAATATATATAAATATATTATATATATATAAATAAATAAATATATAAATATATAAATATTTATTTATTTTATTTAAATATTTATATATATTATTTATTGAATATTTTTAATTTGTATTCATTTTTAATATTTTCTATTTTTTACACTTATACTTATATAATTTATTAATAATAATTTTTTTATTATTTATAAAAAATAATTTATTTTTTTTTAAAAACGATTATTTTAATTTTAATAATAATTTTAATTAATATATTTAAGTATTTTTTTATAAATGATATTAAATGCTTATAAAAACAATATATATATATTAAATTTTTTATACATTATCTATGTTTTTATCATTTATTATTTAAAAAAATATTTTTAATTGAATATAGTTTCTTATAAATTAATAAAATTTTTAATATCATAATCAAAATATAAAAAAATATATATATTTATTAATAATTAATTTTGATTAATTAAAAATTGTCCTATAAAATAAAAAATTTATATTATAATTAACTTAAAATAACAAAACTAATTCCAATAAAATACTAATAAATAATTACATATATATAAATAATTTATTTTACATAATTAATTAATCTTTAAAATTAAATATATCTTTTATATTATTACTTATTTTTTTATTTTTTTTCTTCATTTCTAATACAATTATTTAAATCTGAATTATTTTTATTATCAATTGTATATGTTTCTTATGAAAAATTTATATTTTTTAAACTTAAAATCATATACATTTAACTCCACAATTTTTTTCCAAAAAAAATTCTAAAGTTGAATATAATACATTTTTATTTTAAATAAATGATCCAATTATTTCAAAACCGATCTTTAAATATTTATAAATATCTTAATTACAAATTTTCACATCTAAACTTAAAAATGCAAAATGAATGGAAAATAAATATCTTGTTATCTATAAAATCTCTATTTTATTTCCTTAATTAAAAGTAAGTAAGTTTTTTTTTTCATATTTAATACGAGTTTTTTTTTTTTTTCAAAAAACTTACAAATAAGCAGTTTAGTGAATTTATTCTCTCGAATCGGTTCTTCCTCCAGGTATTCTCCACCAATAAATTGTTCTTATTCTTATGATTCGATTTTTATATAATAAATAAAATTTAATTTCTGCAATAAAAATACCTCATTTATAAAGCACTATATGTCGGTAAATATTAAAATTATTTATTTAATTACAAACAAATAATTTGATCGAAAAAAAATATTTAATATAATGGAAAAAAATACAAAATACAAATAGATATTTCCTAAATATATTTAAATTATTATAATATTTATTAAATTATAAATTCATTAAATTATATTATTGTATTTGTTTGATGTAGATATTAGTTTTTAGTTTTATAAAACATTATTTTATTTAATTACATGTTTCTAAATAAATTAATTAAATATATTATGCATTTTGAAAGATATTTTGTATAATATATTATAATAAAAATGTTTATATATATAAATAAATAAAATAATATATATATATATTTATACTAATTTATATATATATATATATATATATTTATATTTTTATTTTTATTTTTATTTATTTATTAGATTATATACTCTTAGTCTAATATTTTTTTTAATAAAATATTTTCTAACAACAGGTTTTGTAGTATATTTAATTTTTATATTTATAGTATCCATTTTAAAATAAAAATTAGTTAAATTAGTTATTTAATGTTTTATATAATAAATATAAAACTATTTATAAATTGTAAATTTAATTTATTTAAAATATTTAAATTTATTGTAATATAATAATTGCATATAATATATATATATTGTTTATTTATTATTAATTATTGATAATGTTTGTTTTTTTTTTTATTAATTTAAAAAAGAAATATTTATATATATAAATATATATATATATTTTATATTTATATATATTTATATATTTGTATATATTTTTAATAAATCATTTATATTATAAAAATCATAATCTTTTTTTTTTAAAAAAAATATATTTAATTAAAATAAATTAAAAATATAAAAATACTCTGTATCGGAATCCCACATTCTATATATATTAAAAAAATATAAAAAAATAAAAAATATTAGAAAAATAATTACTTTGGATCTAAATCATGATCATCATGTTCATTAAATCCGAAATTTTATCCTCTATAAAAATTTAAATTTAAAATAAAAAATTAAAAAAAAAAACTTATATATATAATTACTTAATATCATTTCCAAATTCGTATCCATCAGCTCCTATAGCATTTGAATCATATCCATCAAGACTTTATATCCATTCTCGATTAAATTCATAATATTTTCTTTATTTTATTCTTTCAGATAGTTCTGGTTAATATTCCTTAACAAATATATAAAAAAAATAAAAAATAAAAAATACTCTTATAATATCCAAAACATCATCATTAACTTTTTATATAACAGGATTTCTATCACTAATATTATTTAATAAAAATTAAATAATATCATCCTATTCAATAATGAATTAAATTCCGATTTTATGTTACAAAAATTAATATAAAGCAAATAAATTTTAAGCAACAAATTCTTCATCATCTATTTTTGATAAAAGCAATCCGGCAATAGTAATCATTAATTTATTTTCTATAAAATAAATATAAATATATATAATTGAATATTATATATAAAATATATATAATATATATATTATTAATTTTATTATAATATATATAAATACTTGCTAGTGTTTCAGCACATTAAGGCGAATAACAAATAGTTTAAGCTAGTTAAATTGTTTCTATAATAATATCATCTTCTACAGCTTAATCAGATAGATTATTATGTATAAATTCAATAAATGAGTTATTCAAGTAGTTTACCCATTTATCTCCCATATGCTTTATATTTGATAAAATTCCTATTATTTCATATTTTAAGTCTTCAATTTTGCTTTTAGTTAGACCCAATTTTATAAACTTAGGTATATTATTTTATAAGCAATTATGTACTTCTTCGTCTTCGGCATATATTGCTATATTCTTAATAAATTTAAAAAGCAAAATATCTTAATTTTTAATAGCTCTATCAATAACTACTTATAATTCTTCTTCGGAAAGTACATCTGCATTTTATTAATTGGCTGCTAAATTAATAGCTAAGGATACGAGTTCCTTTCCTACACTCTATTCTGGGAAATGAATAATTAGTTTTACGACTAGATTAATACATTCAGTATAGGAGAATGTATTCCTAGTTTTATCGTCTAAAGAAAGCATATATAGAAGTACAAGAGAAGTAAACCTAAAATTCGGAGTTTTTAATAATTCGATTATTTTGGGAATATAGTTTTCCTTTTCGATTTATTCTCTTACATTCTTATCAAAGGCTATGTTTTTTAATAGACCTGAGGCTAATTATAAAAGTAAATTGTTTTAACAAGTAAAGAATCTTCCAAGCTTTTCCACAAGACCGTCTTCGAGCATTTAGTTTTTATTTTCTCTTATTATTGAAAGCTTTTTTAAAAATAAAAGGGTTACTATTAATAAATGGAAATCGTTTCTTTCTAACATTCTAATTAAAATTGTTACAATTTTCCTGTTTTTCATCTTTTTTTCGATTTAATAATCCTCTGCCATATTCAATAAAATAGTCAAGGAAATATAAAATAATTTATCTTATCTAGCTATCATCATATTGAGCTTTTTTAATTCTTTTTCATAGTTTTTATTATTCTTATCCAATTCCATGAATTCAGCGTAACTAAAGTCAAATGGACTAATTTAATATTCAATTATTTTAAAAGTAACATCTCCTAAACTTGTGTTGAGTCAATATACTGTGAAATTAATTGAAATTAGATAAGACAAAAAATATACATAAAATATTTATGCATAATTCAGTGCTTTTGGAACTTTCTTATATTCATCATGAAGAGTTCTACTTAATAAACTTAACAAAATATCTTTTTATATATAAATAAAATAAATATATATAAATATATATATAAATATAAATATATATATATATATATATATATATATTAGTATTTAATTTATTACCATGACTAAATATTATTTCCATGTAGTTTGAATTTAATGTTAATAATAGGATTTTACGAGATGTCAATATTTTATTTTCTATATTGTCCTCGTAATATAAATCTATATATTAATCTAAATCATTTATGTTTGCTTCGACATTGTTTAATTACATTTTAATTTACTTTTTAGATTTAATTTAATTTTTACAAAAAAAAAATATATATATATTTTAAATTAGAAAAAAATAAAAAATACCTTATTTAATTAATTTTTTAATTGAATTTTATTATTAAAGGTTTTTTATTTTTAATATGTAAAAATATATATATATATATATATATATATATATTAATATTTTCAAATAATAGATATATATTTATATTTTATATAAAAATTAAATTCATTTATAATATATTTATAAAAAAGAAATAAAAATCAAGTTTTATTATGTTTTTGTTTATCATTAACATTATTATTATATTCAATTTTATTTTTTCATATTATTATCAGCCTTTAATTTTTCTTTAGAAGAAACACTTCCTTGTTTTTCTTCTATATCCATCTATAGAATTTAATTAATATCTTTTTAAGCTTGAATATCACTAGGCATTTTGAACCAAAATCCCCTTAACTTAATAATTTTATAAACAAATTTTAATTACTAGGCAAAGAAAGCTACAAAAATATCAAGAATCAACATATCTAATATAAAACCTAATACAGCTGATCCTATGAAATACGAAATAGAAGTATTATTATAATTAATTCCTACTTAATATATAATAATAGATATTTCTGTAATTATATAAACAAACATAATTATGAAAAAAATAATCACATTTTTTTTCACAAACCCATATTTCATAAATGAAATATTATTTTTAGAATTACTATTTTTATTTTACGATAATAAGTCTTCTTCTTTTTATTATATTTCCTTTTCAAAATTAGACTAAGAAAATAAATTATTCGTCATTTTACTCTTTTCTAAAGCTATATTAATTAACATTTTATCTTCCAAAACAGATTTTTATGCCCAAATAGCTAAAAATCCAAATAAATAATTACTAAAAAAGCTCACTAAAATTCCATATATAGCAAACAAAGGTACATAATCAGAAATCGGGTTTTGATTATTAATATTATTATGAAGTATACTTTCTATCATAAACTATGTCGTTAAACTACTCGTAATTAAAATTATTCGAAATTTTACAGGCTTCATTGGATATCTAACAAAAAAAACGGATAATAAAGGCGTTAATCTTCTAAACGCTTTTTTAGGAATAATGTCTGTTTTTTCACTATCCTTTGTAAATATCCAACAAAATATAAAAATAGCTAGCATAATTAAACTTATCCATAATCCTGCATTTTCTTTTAGTCTTTGATAGAACATTAGTATAATAGTAGATTCTTCTTCTTTATTTATTTAATATTAACGTACAGCAACAAAATAACCTTCTAAGATTTAACATTTACAAATAATATAATAAAGAGTTTCTTGTTCGAAAACACAGTTTATATTTTCCCATTTTTCAGGTTGTTTTTCGTTGTAGTTTAGACATTTATAAGGTTCTTTTAGTATGTTTATATCTACAGGCTCTTCGTTTCTTAATCTAGGAAGTTTCATAATTGTTGGCTTGTCAATAATTTTTAGATTATCGAGTTTAAAATTTGCTTTTATTTATATTATTTGAGTTTCGACGTCTTTAAAATCTTAAGGCTTTTTATTTATAAAAGGATAATTTTTGTATTAATTAATATATATTTTTAAATCAGAATCTGTTTAAATTATTTCAGATGAAATTATAAGTAAAAACCTCTCATTTTATTTAGAAAAAACATCAGATAGAATTTCTTATTAGATTATTATTTATTCTAGGTTTCGTGTATTTTCATATTATTATTGATTTTTTAAATGTTTTTCATATTATTATATATGATTTTCTACTTATTATTATTATAATTCTAAATCACTAATATTTTATTCAAATTATTATTATTAATTTAATTTATTATTTTCATTTTATAATAAATTTCGTAAGTTTTTTTCAAATTTCATTTAAATTTAGATATATTTTTGTTCTTATATTTATTTAAATGGGATTAATTCTATATATGAAGCTAAATAATCTCCATATGAAAAGCCTTCATAAAGATTTTTTTCATCTAAACAATCTCCTTTTATTATATTTATTTTCTAAAAAATTTCTTGTATTTAATTTAAATATTATATTATCTAATCTTCATTTAAATTTTAGGTATATTATTATTCTAGGATTTTTATTGCCAGCTTTTAATATTAATTAAGTAATTATAAATATTCAAAGGAAGGAATTTAGTTAAATTTTTCGCTTTGTTTTATAAATAAAGAACATATTTAACAAAATAAAGACTTATTTAAATTTAGTATGTCTATTAAGTCATTAAATATATTCAAAAACTAAACGTTACTGTATGTATATTTAGTTAATTATGACATTATTAAGTTTTATATATTATTTATATCATTGAATTAATTAATATCTATATTGCAAAAATAACCTTAACTGCTTAGTATTTAACAATCGCAATAAAAAGTAACATTTCTATAATTTTAACAATTTTGTTTATGTTCACATAAACCTTAAGGACCTTTTTTAAAATAATATAATATATATATATATATATATATATAATTTATTTATAATATTACATTTTGATTATATACTAAGTGAATATTATTCAAATAATTCTTTTTTTATTATATTAACTTTATTATTTTAAATTTAAAAGAGTTTTTAATATCCATTTTTTAGTGAAGATATAAAAATCTATAATTCGAAAATAGTCAAATTATTTAAATCAAAAATATTACTCATAATATTATAAATATTGCCTTATTTTATTTCTGGTACTTAAACGAAAAGTACATCAGATAATTTTGTATAATATTCATCGTTTTTTATTTCTATTTCTATATCATATTATTCACTTAATTAAAGTAAAGGGAATATATATTTTATATTTATATTTTTATCGCTTTCGTTTTAATCAATTATTAATATTTGTTTACTTTTTTTACCTATAGCCGTTATACTATATTATAGCTTTTAATTTAAAGGCCAATTATTTGTATTTATTATTATTATATCTGAATAATGATTTACGGTTTTTATATTAACCTTATTATTAACTAAAATTTTATGATTAATTATTGGTTTTTAGAATGTTTTTAGCTCTATAAATTACCTTGAGTAACCCTTAAAGGTTTCGACTTGAAAATCGAGTATTATTTTCATATTATAGTCCAACTTTTCCTTTAATAAAGTAATTGTATTTTAATTTTTATTCTAATTACCCAAAAAGTCTGCATTTTAATTCTAGACAAGCCACAAAACGCGAGTAGTCTAGTAGATAGAATCCACATTAGCTGTAATTTATATATTTTTATTAATTCCTATTATATTATTTTTAACATCATCTGGCAAAATAAACCTAATTTTCGGATTTTAAAAAATATCACAAGTTCCTTCTTATGTATTCTAAGAAGTTCCAGGAGGACATTATTCTAAACAATCATCGCTTAATAAATAAAGATTTTAAATGCATTTATCACAGTTTTCTTTACATATTTCACATTAATTAGATTAAGTATTTATTTTATATCCATTTTTACAATAAAATACACATTATATTTTATTATTAATTATTTTTCTAAATTTAAAATAAAAATATATATAAATATATATACAAATATATATAAATATAAAAAAAAATTTTAATTAAATAACAATGTCAAAATTTATAAATAATATATATATATATATAATGTTTATATATATATTTTTTATATTTTTATATATATTATAATTTATTTTTATATTTTAATATATATATGTTTTTATTTTTTTACTTATAATATGTATCAATGCATTCAAGACAGTCATCATTTTATGGTCCTATACATTTTTTACAAGAAAAATGGCATTTCTAACATAAATTTTTTTTTTTTTCTAAATATGTACCATTTTCACATTAATTTAAGCATTTATCTTGGAATTTTATTTAATCTGCTTCACATTTATCTTTAAAATAAAATAAAATTAAATATATATAAATTAATATTTTCTACCTATACAAACTTGATTTATTTTATAAAAGCCATCATTACACTATTTAACACAATATTTAGAAATTAAATCTCCAAAATATCCTTCGGGACATTACTAAACGCATTTATTATCATATAAAAGGAATTATTGATTTTTACATTTTATACAGATACCTTTATCTTATGGTATTTATGAATCTGATTCTTAGTTTTTTTAATATACAGTTTTACACATATCGCAAGTTAATGGGTCACATAAGAAAACGCAAGAATCTCTACTACTAGGAGATCCTCCAAAACATTTAAAACCTTCTAAAATTTAACAATTTTCATCACAACCTATATCTTCTGAGTCGCACATTTCCTTTCCTCCAAATTAAGGTCCTACCTTCTTCCCATCTTTGCATTTAGTAAAGCATTTAGATGGTATTAAAGGCAATAATAATTATTTTTAATCATCGATTTACTTACAATACCATCCTTTTTCAATTTAGCATTAATCATTGCATCCATCTAAATTATTCAAATTATAATCATCACATTATTCGTTACCTTCATGAGCTAATATTCCGTCACCGCAACAACTTCTCAAACAAGAAAATTAACCGATTTTATAATATTTTGAACGCTATTCGCGGCATTATTCAGTTCCAACTAATCCTTCTTCTTAACTACATACAAAACATCGATTTGAACCTTCACCAAAACATTCTAAACAGGCAATATCACATTCTATGTATAATATATATATATATAAATATATATATATATATATATATATATATATTTATATATATATAAATATATATATTTTTATTCATATATTTAACTTTTTTTTTATATTATACATTTATATATTTTTAATACTTTCACATTTATTATTTATTGTGTTTCCGTAAAAGCCTAAAGGACAATTTTCTAAGCAATTTCCTTCTTAATTTTAATCATTTATTATTAGAAAAAAAGCATTATTACAGGCCGTACAATTTGTATTTTTTTAATAACAATCACCACATTTGGGATTACATAGTTCACATATCATATTTTTATTCAAAAATTTACCTCTTTCGCAACTTTTTAAACATATTTTCATTGATATTATATTATTGCCTATTTGCACATTTAGTTCATTTAAATTATAAGATGATTTACATTTTGTACAGAAATAAGGATATTGTAAACATTCGGAACATGTAAAGTCACATCCTTTTAACAAATATATAAATATTTATATATAATTATATTTTTTAAATTACTTTCACATTCATAATAATTTCCTATTTTTTTTACGTACCATGCATGCTATTCATCTTTTCGTTCTATACATTATTAATATGTTATACATTAGTTTTAAAATTTAACAATTATTTCTTAGTTTTATGCTCCTATTTGTGCTTGTTAACATTATAAACATATAGTTTCGGATTAACATATTTCACAATTAATTGGACATTCTTTTTTATATATATATATTTAAATACTTTATTATATTTTACTTTAACAATATAACCATTTAGATATAAACTCGTCAATATTACATTGCGATACACATTTACTTTTTTTTATAAATAAAAAAATATATATATAAATATATATATATATATATTAAAATATATTAATTATTTTTTACTTAGATGCTTATTAAAAAAAAGTTCCAGGTAAACATGAATCACATTTATCCACTTTTTCACTGCAAGTAAAGCAATTTGTAGTTTAATTACACTCTTTTTTATATTTAAATGAATAAAGCAAAAATTGAATTTTTACTTAAGCATTAATTATTGTTATTTTATAAATATCCTCTTTAATAAGGGCAATTAGGTCTGCAAGTATTGTCTTCATATTAAAGTAAAAAATCAGAACATTTTAAACAATTATAACTATTTTCTCTACAACCTTTACATCTAGAAACACAAACTTTATTTTTTAACTTTTTTTTATTTTTTATTTTTTTTACACCAGCAAGTTTCTTAGAGTAAAAATTAATTACTTTGACATGTTTATGAATATATAAAAACTTTTTTAATAAAGAAAAAGATTAATCATTAAAAAGTATTTCTTTATTAAATAATAAAATAATACCTTTTAAAAGAAATATTGTTAATATTATAATAATTTTTTTAATTTTCATATATAGATCTTTTTATTATTTTTTTTTTGTTTATATTGAAAATTATAATGTTTAAAGTATTAAAAAATCAAATTTTTGATTTTATTTTTTAAATATTTATAATTTTATAATAAATTTAGTAAAATATAGATAATAAAATTTATGAATATATTTTTTAAAAACATATGATATATAGAAATATATATTATATATTAAAAAAATAAAAAAATTATCAGAGAATTGTAATCTAATTTACTTTCATTACCTGAAAGGTTAAGTAAATATTGGATCATCATTAAATTGTTATAAAATGAAAATTAAATATATATATTTATAAAAATATATAATTAAAATATATATATTATTATTATTATTTTTTTAATAATTTATGGGTGTATTTTCTTTGATTTTTTTTTTATTAAATAGTAAATAATAAAATGAAAATTTAAAGTAATTTTATGAAGATATATATAATTATTTTTTTAAATTATTAAAAATAAAATACTCTTTTTTAAATAAATATATATAAATATATATAAATATAAATATATATATAAATATACATATATACATTTGTTTATATATATATATATATTTTTTATTGATAAAAAATCTATTATTTTATTGATTAAATATAAAATTTATAATAAAAAGAATTACCAATATATTTCTTTTTAAAATAATTTATAATAGTTAATTATAATTATTTTTTTATTTTTATAAAAAAATAATTTATTTAAAAATATTATTGAATTCTCATTTATATTTTATGAAAATAATTAATTTTAAAAATTTGTAAATATATTATTATTTTTTTTACAAAAAAAAAAAAAATAATAAGTATTTTTTTATACAAATAATATATATATAAAATATTTTTAAAAATAAATGAATGATAAATATTTCCTTTACATAATTTTTTAAATATTTAAAAAAAAAAAATATATACCACAAATAAATAAAGAAAAAGTCCATATATAAAAAAAAAACATACAAAATTATTTATAAATATAATATTCATTAAAATATTTAACTAAAACCAAAAAAAATGAGTATATAAAAAGTAGATAATAAAAATTTATTAAACTTAACAAATGACAACGATGCATTATTAAAAAAATCCCAAACAAATTATTTGACTGACCGATTTATTCCCAGCCGTAAATTTTCTAAATTAAATATATATTAAGCCCATGAAGTAAAAGAAAATAAAACTTAAGCGTCTTAATATTAAAATAATAATAATAATAATCCCGTTATAATCAAAAACGCTGTAAATAAAGAAGAAGTAAACTAAACAAGTATTGCCTAACTTTATAAAAATTGTATATTGGGAATAAAAGACTAAAAAACTTCAGATAGTCAAGCTTAAATAGTAAAACATTTAATCCCATATAAAAATTAGAACATCCTCCGATTTTACAAATCTAACTATAATTTGTAAAAAAAAGCAAATCAAAATTATCTTCTTAACTTAGAAGAAGATATGCAATCATAATTTAAAAATTAACGAAAAATAGCCAAAGTTCCTTATAAAGTATTAGATGCACCTGCTCTTTAAGACGATTTTTATCTTAATTTAATAGATTGGTCTAATTCAAATATTCTAGCTGTTGGTTTGTCTTCTTGTGTTTATTTGTGGAGGTAAATTAATAAATTAATAAATAAATATATAAATTTAAAGAATGTCATTTTTTTATTTTTTAAATAATATTTTTAAAATTAAAAAATAAAAAAGTAAAGCTTATAAAATTTATATTATTCTTCTTTAACAAATCAGAGTTTTTATAAAAATTATAAAAAATAAAATAAAAAAATATATATTAAATAATAATATAAAAAATATATTAAAAATATATATATATATATATATATATATATATATATATATTTATTTATATAAAGTGCATAATCTTCTTCTGTAACAAAATTATGTGATTTTGGACGAAATAATGAAGTTACATCTGTTAATTGGTCTCCTTCCAGTCCTTTAATTTCTATTGGCACAAACTCTGGAGAAGTAGAAATTTGGGATACTTAGAAATAAAAAATGGTAAGAGTAATTTCTGGTCATACATAAAGAGTGGGAGCATTAGCATAGTAAAAAAATAACAATAAAATATAGAATATAAAATATAAAATAATAAATAGAAATTAAAATACTTTAATAAGTGGTTCAAGGGATACCACTATATTATAAAGAGATATAAGAAGTTAAAATAATATCGAGTAAAAATTTTTGGGACATAAATAAGAAGTATGTGGTTTAAAATGGTCTTTTGATTAATAATAATTAGCTTCAGGAGGAAACGACAATAAATTATATATATGGAATATGTAAACATATAAACCAATAGTAAGATTTGATAATCATAATGCTGCCGTAAAGGCTTTAGCTTGGTCTCCCCATTAGCACGGGTTATTAGTTTCTGGAGGAGGTACTTAGGATAAAACAATTAGATTTTGGAATACTTTGACTAGTAAATAGTTGTAGTGTATAGAGACTGGAAGTTAAGTATGTAATTTGATTTTTAGTAAAAATACTAATGAAATTGTAAGTACTCATGGATATAGTTAAAATGAAATTATTATATGGGGATATCCTGATATGTAAAAAATTACTACACTTACAGGACATTCTTGTAGGGTTCTTTATTTGGCAATAAGCCCGGATGGATAGACAATTGTTACAGGAGCTGGTGATGAAACTTTAAGATTCTGGAATATATGTGGAAAAGGAAAAAATGAAGATGAATATTAAGAATATAATTAATCATAGCTAATGTAATAAAAAAATATTTCAATTAGATGAAATTTTTTATAAAAGAAATATAAAAATTAAATATTTATTAGTTTTAAATATAAAAAATTAATATATATTGAAAAATAAATATGAAAGTATAATTTATATGTAAATATAATATATCTATATAAATATAATTTAAATATATTTATTATGTATTTAATTTTTTTTTATAGTATTTGTCTATGTAAATATATAATAAACTATTTATTTGTAATTATTTATATTTTATAATTGTATATTAGATATTTTTAATTTTTATTTAGATTAATTTTATTATTATTTTTTATTTATATAATTTATGTTTAGATATTAAATGGAAATAAATATATTTAATTATTATAATTAAAAATTAATATTTTAAATTTTTTAATTTGTTTAAATATTTATGTTTATATATAAAAATTAAAAATATATATATTAATATTTATATTTGAATATATTAATTAATATAATAATTTTAATTTTAATTATATTAATAATTTTTTATTTTTTAAAAAAAATCTTTTTTATTTATATTTATAACTTTTAATTAAATTTTCATATTAATTTTTAATAAATTATAAAATTTATAAATAAAAATTAATTATAAATATTTAATTGAAAAATATTTAAAATATATGAAAAATATTAAATAAAATATATTAATATAAAATTAAAAATTAATTAACACATCTTTTTTTATTATTTATATGAATAAAATAAAAAAAACACTATAATATTTAAATTAAAAAAAAAATATAAACAAAAAAAATGAATACTTTTACCTTTTTAAAAATTAACGCTTTTGAAGAGAATTAAAGAACTCCTAAATTATCAAGCTCATATAAAACACCTATTAATAGTTAAAAGTTAAGCTAAAAATCTAATAATTAAATTAATAGAAGAAATGCTTTAAAAAGAATAGACATTGATGATATTAATTCTCTAACTAAAAAATTAAATTTTATTGATTAATAAGAAAATATAATCAATATAGTTTAAGTTACTAAAAAATCTATAAAAAAGAAAGATAGCATACTTAAATTCAGATGAATAATTAATTAATAATAATTAAAAATATAAATTATAAATTAAAAAAAATTATAAACATTTTGTAAAAAATTATCATATATTTGTATGTATTTATTTTTATATGATGTTTATCCTAAATTATTTTAAATTATTTAAACTCAAAAATAAAAATAATAATTTTTGTAATTTTATTAATGTATATAGAATTTAGCTTTAGCTAATATAATATTTATATAAAAAATAAACAAAGAGAATTCAATATATATAAATGATTTAATAAAAAAGAATGTATTAGAGATAAGAAAAAATAAGAAAAATATCAATTAATATATTAAAGTATTTTTTTAAACAAAAAAGCAAATATAAGTTAAAAATAAAATATATATTATTAACATTAACAAAAAATTTAATTAATTATAATTTTTAAGAAAAATTATTTTTTATAAATTATATTTAATTCCTTATTTTTTATTTATTTTATTTTTAGAATTATAATTTTCATCTAATTCATTAATCTCACTATAAATTATACTTCTTATTACTTATATTTTTTAATAAATAATATTTTTTTATAAAGATTTAAATATTAATATTTCAACTTTTATTACTTTTTAGTAATTTTTGTCTTTCTTATTAATATAATTATTTACTTTTCTAAATATTAAATTTATTCCGTCTACAATAATTTTTATCTTATTTACCAAATTTTTAAAATTATTCATTAAATTTTAAGGATTTATTTTAAAAAAATCAGTTTATCATCTCCAAAAGAGATAAATGAGACACCTTTTATTAAATTTAATCCTATATTTATATTATAAAAATAAATATATGAATTGTTATATTTAAAAGCTTTAATATCTCTTATAATTATATGATTATTTAACTTTAATGATATATATTACTAATAATTCCTCTTCTTTCGATATTGAAATAGCAGTATAGTTTTCTCAAATAGTAATTATATTTTTCAATAATTATACTGAGATCGATTTTAATGAGAATTTTATGTAATTATTAAACTTTTCTTATTATTTAAAATTTTGTTTATTAATTAAAAATTAATAAATAGGAATGTATTATGGTAATAATTTATAATTGATAATTTTAATTATAAATTCTGATTAATAAGAAAAAAAAACATTATAATGTTCATATAATAAAAAAAATTACATATATTATATTTTATTTTTAAAAGAAATTAAATAATAATTTTTTTATTTATTGTATTATTTAAATATTAAGAAAATTTTTAATACTTTTATATAATAAATTAAATCTAAAAATAAAAAAAAATATAATATATAAAAAAAAAATATTTTTCATATTTTTAAATATATAATTAATATTTATTATGTTTAAAAATATATATATTTATAATATTTAAATAATATTATTATGTTTTTAAAAATAATTTTTTTTTAATATATATATATATTTAAATATATATTACTTTATTATATTATATTATATATATATATATATATTAATATATATTTTCTTTTATTATATTTAATATTTCTTTTATATTCTT